TATTTTGTGAATTTTATGTTTGTAGGAATTTGGTATACGTTTTAGTTGAAGTAAACGTGCATGGAAATAATTTAAATATCTTGACACTAAGTATTTGTAATGGTTGCGGTATGAATTCGTTGGTGACGTGTATAAATGTAATAGATGATTTAGAGGTAAAAGTTTTTTTGGATATTTTATTTATTTTATATGTGGAAATGTTCATATTTGCATAAATACTTTTTCGCGATCAGGTAATTTCATATATGTTCTTTTTACCGGGTTTAAAGATTGAGAAAATTGTCATGTATTTTCGTGAAATTTTTCTAATTTATGAGAAAAAAGCAGTGTACATGGATATAGTGAAGAGTGTGCGCAATGCCATTTTTGTGCAATTCTGGGATGTTTTTTTAAGTAAAAATAAGTCGGCGTGTACATGGTTTATGTGTATGTGTTATTTTGAAAAACGCGTAAGGAGTATGGTATTGTGCACTTTTTCCCAATTTTGCAGTGAATATTTGTCATGATTAAGCAGTTTTGTTAGATAAAATTTCTAGCATAAGTGTAATTCGGCTAGTAGATTGTTGGAAAAAGTGTTCAGTAGATAAAAAGAAAAGAAACATGTCTTTACTTCGTGAAGACAAAATGGCGGCGGGAAAAAAAAAATAGAGGGTTGCTGTAGGAGAGTTGGTCGCCAAATTTTCGCCAAAAAAAGCCAAGTTCCAAATGTTCAACCATATTAATGTAACATGTGCTTAATAAAGTATTGTTTTTATTTAATTTATTAATTAATGATAGTTATTTTGAATTATATGTTTGTAGCAATTTGGTATAATGTTTCAGTGGAAGTAACCGTGCATGGAAAATTAATATTGACACTAAGTAGTTGCAACCATTTTTTAACGTTTCGTTATAAATTCGTTGGTGATGTTATAATAGATAATTAGACATACAGCTTTGGGATATTTATTTATTTTATACGTGCAAATGTTCATCCTTGGAAAGGGAAATACTTTTTCCGATCAGGTAATTTCATAATGTTCTTTTTAATCGAATTTAAAATTCCAAAATTTCATGCATTTTCGTGAAATTTTTCTAATTTAGAGAAAAAAGCAGACATGGATAGTGAGAGTGTGCGCAATGCCATTTTTATGCAATTCTGGGATTTTTTTTAAGTAAAAATAAGTTGACGTGTACATGGTTTAATTATATTTTAATTAAATGATACAGTCACGTCATTAATTCGGACACCCATAATCCGGACCTCAAAGCTTCAAACTTTCTGCACATGCGTCGCGTTGACGCATGCGCAAAATACGTTTACGAGTGCGCGTTTAATGTATAATGGACAGTATAAGGTAAGCTAAAATTATTTAATTATCTATTTCAGTTAATGTTGCAGATTGCGTTGTTCCTTAATCTTCGAATTGGATCCGGCTTATTATTTTTTGCAGACTATTAGAGCAATTTTATAAAAGTAAGCTTGAACTTTCGATTATGTGAAATAGAATTTCTGGTATATATTTATAATATGTAAATGATCACAAGCGAAAGTATGTTTCGAAGTTCATTAAGCAAAAAGTGGAATTGCTACAAAAAATGGATAAAGGCATATCCTTTGTTTATCTAAACTTTAACGTTTGTTTATCTTTAACGCTGCAGCACCACGCAATGAATTGGAAGTTGATCTGTCAGCACTATCCTTATCTTCAGGGCAGATGTTTTTATTTTATTTGGCTTGTAATTCCTTATTAAAAGTAGTATTTCATCTCGATGTACTCCATCTATGTTATGATTTAAATCAAATTCCTCGTCATTATAATTCGCTTCCGATAGCGAAGAAAGTGACAGAGGTTATTGAAAACGAAAAAATTTCAATTGACAAATTAGTCGGCATTCTCGACACAGCAATTATAGGACTTGAACAGCGGAACTTTGTAACTGAACATGAAATTATGTCTGTTTAAAGAATTAAAGAGAATGTATTATCACATAAAAAACGAAGCAACTTAAAAAACTTACATTCAAAGAAATGTTTAATAAATATTAAGCTTTTTTTTTTGTAAATTTTGATACCCTTTAGATCATAATTGTTCTTTAGTTCATAAATTACGGTTTCATATTTTTAACTTTATAATTTCTGCATGCCATCTTACCAGATTTAAACTGATGATCTATAATCCGGAAAATCGAAATCCGATCAAGTCCGACGGGTCCGGATAAGACTTTGACGTAGTGTGAATGTAGCATTTATATGTTTCAGTGGAAGTAAACGTGCATGGAAATAATTTAAATATTTGAACTAAGTATTTGCAACCATTTTTAATGTTTGCATTAAATTCGTTGGTGACGTTTATAATAGATAATTTAGAGGTAAAAGTTTTTGGATATTTTATTTATTTTATACGTGCAAATGTTCATCCTTGGAAAGGGTATATACTTTTTTCGCGATCAGGTAATTTCATATATGTCCTTTTTACCGAATTTAAAGATTCACAAAATTTTCATGCATTTTCGTGAAATTTTTCTAATTTATGAGAAAAAAGCAGTGTACATGGATATAGTGAAGAGTGTGCGCAATGCCATTTTTGTGCAATTCTGGGATGTTTTTTTAAGTAAAAATAAGTCGACGTGTACATGGTTTAATTATATTTTAATTAAATGATAGTTATTTTGTGAATTATATGTTTGTAGCAATTTGGTATACGTTTCAGTGGAAGTAAACGTGCATGGAAATAATTTAAATATTTGACACTAAGTATTTGTAACCATTTTTAATGTTTTGTTATGAATTCGTTGGTGACGTTTATAATAGATAATTTAGAGGTAAAAGTTTTTGGATATTTTATTTATATTTATACGTGGAAATGTTCATCCTTGGAAAGGGTATATACTTTTTCGCGATCAGATAATTTCATATATGTGCTTTTTACCGAGTTTAGAGATTCACAAAATTTTCCTGCATTTTTTGTAATTTATGAGAAAATAGCAGTGTAGATGGATAAAGTCAAGAGTGTGCGCAATGCCATTTTTGTGCAATTCTGGGATGTTTTTTTAAGTAAAAATAAGTCGACGTGTACATGGTTACTGTGTATGTGCGATTCTGAAAAACGTGGCAAGGAGTTTGCGATTCTGCACTTTTTCCCAATTTTGCAGTTAATATTTGTCATGATTAAGCAGTTTTGTTCCATAAAATTTCTAGCATAAGTGTAATTCGGCTGGCAGATTGTTGGAATTGTCGCAAAATTTTCGCCAAGTTACCATAATTCAAAGATTAACCCTATTTTCACTCAAAAAAAATCAAAGAATTGCACAAACTTGGCAGTGCGCACTGCCTTGACTTCGTCCATGTACACATTGATCTATTTTCACTTTAAAAAAAACAGGAGAATAATGATGTCATATAAGGTTAAAACAAAGTTACTCATTGCCAAAATTGAACAAAATTTGACATCAATCAAAGAGGCACCAAATTCTTAACTACAGCCAACTTTTTATATTTGTGATAATGTGTGAAAAATAAGTTTCCCCTGTCAACTGTGGTCAGAGTTGTGTATGAAAGTCAAAAAATAGAATGAGACATTAAAGATATGACAAACCTTTTTTTTTTTATTCTCGTACGAGTACGTTGAGACATTTGTCATATCGCTTGATAAGCTTCATAAAGCCCTCCAGGAAAAAATCAGGGCTTTGCATATGGAAGAAGCGTTGAATGGCTTGTTTCACTTCAGTATTGCAAGTGGAGGACATAACGAAAGCTGGACAGACGCGCACGGCCACTACAGATGCAAATGTCAGGAAGGTGGATGACATGATTAGAGCGAACCGGCGTATCACCATTGATGAAGTAGCGGAAGAACTTGGAATCACACATGAACGAGCTCAAAACATCATCCACGACATTCTTCGATACAAAAAAGTGCCAGCACGATGGGTGCCCCGACAATTGACCTCGACAGCGTCGACATTGAAAGAGGCAATTTGGAAAAAGCGGCCTGGCCTTCTCACATCTGGTGTTCTGCTGTTGGATGACAATGCCAGACCACATTCGGCGACGGCAACGCAAAACCATATTGCAACTCTTGGTTGGGAGCACCTACACCATCCGCCATACAGTCCTGATCTCGCACCAAGTGACTTCCATCTGTTTCCGGTTTTGAAGAAAATTTCGGGGAAAGGCTTTTGGAAGCAATACTGAAGTGAAACAAGCCTTCCAACGCTTCTTCCATATGCCAAAGCCCTGATATTTTCCTGGAGGGCTTTTTGAAGCTTATCAAGCGATATGACAAATGTCTCAATGTACTTGGTACCTATGTGGAAAAATAAAGGTATGTCATATCTTTAATGTCTCATTCTATTTTTTGACTTTCATACACAACTGTGACCACAGTCGACAGGGGAAACTTATTTTTCAGCTTACCTACGTATATTTATTTTGTTTTAGTATATTTATTTTGTTAGTTTATATTTTGCAAATATTTAAATAACTATTTTGGTTTAAATTTTATTATTTGTGTTCTTCAAATTTATGTTTCTCTTCATTTGCTAATGCTTTAGCACTGGGGGGGGGGACTATGTAAGTTAAAAAATACGTAAATCAAAATTATAACTTAAATTAGCAACAGCCCTTAATTACTCTTTTTAATTTGAGTAATTCCTCTCTTTATTCTAAAAACACTTTTATAGGCTGCGTCATTTCTAGATCAATACATACACATAATTTAATAACACTAGGACCTAGCTAATTCGGAACTCAAACTGAAACTTTCTCTTAATAAGATGGATAGTTTCTGTTACCACTAAGATGCTGCCACACTGCTTCTCTTCTTACCGCAAAGCCATCAAAAATGTAAAATGTTTGAAACAGGCACACCAAGTGAACTGTGGCCACAAGTGTTTTTTTTTTTTTTTCCCCCTTCCAAATGGCAAGCACTTGCCTATTCAGTACTGGCCACTTCTAAGGTAAGAAGTAGTGGCCATTTTATTGAGGAGGCACCTAACAGGTGACCACCACTTCCTCCTATGAAGAGACGAACAGTTATAACCATGCCTTCTAAAGATTCAAACATGTACTCTTCGGTACTGCAGTAGGCTCCTCTAACTACCAGACCATCAGGGCAACGAGGCCACAAATGTTAACTGAAATTAAAATAAATAATTAATCTGCATTGGCTGCAAATATTTTGTTCATTATGGATCAATATTATTACATATATAGAGATGATTAAGATTATAATACAATACTTTCCTATTAAGTTATGGGTAAGACTGGAGATTATGGATCACTGTCCATTAGTTATAGCCCCTCACTAAATCAGGCAACTTTGCATTTTCATTGAAATTATGCCAAGCTGCAAAAACCTGAAAACTGTTAGAGTTTCGAGTTAGTTTTTATAATATTTAACCAGGTTTTTATTAATATTTGTTGTTTCTCTGTGCTTTTCATAAATGATTGTGCTAGCAAAATAGCTGGCATCGAAAGAGTTGAACATGTGAGGTGCAAGATAAGGGCAAACAGATTTATTAAACTTTTTGAACGGATCAATGCAGATTTTGATGTAAATAAAAAAAAAAAAAAAAAATTGTTATACAAAAGTATATTATCTGTGGTTGAAATGAACATGCCATTTTGAATTTTACCTTCTTTTTTTCTCCTTCTATTGCACAACAAAGAAGTTTAATCGTAGCATATGGTACACATGGAATTTGGCAACATTATTGTGAGGAGTAAACGGTGTTGGTGACAATTTTCAAAATCGTGCTGAGGCCGTACTGTATTCTAGGATTTTACGAACAAATATTTTTTTCTACTATTTATTCTAAATCAAAATTTACTGTGGGAATATAAATCACATAGTCAAAATCGTTTAACTAGTTCTTTTTTTTTTATTATTATTATTACTATTATGATCAGTAGTACAGTCAAAAGTCCTTGATCCGGACTCGTCGGGACTTCGGCGATTCCGGATTATCGATCATCAGTTTAAAGATGGCATGCAGAAATTCTAAAATTAAAAATATGAAATAAAGAACAATTATGATCTAAAGGGTATCAAAATTTACAAAAAAAAAGCTTAATATTTATTTGTTTACTTTATTAAACATTTCTTTCAATGTAAGTTGTTTAAGTTGCTTCGTTTTATGTGCTAATACTTTCTCTTTAATTCTATAAACAGACATAATTGTTAGTTACAAAGTTCCGCTGTTCAAGTCCCGTAATTGCTGTGCCGAGGAATACAGACTAACTTGTCAATCGAAATTTTTTCATTTTCACTAACCTCTCTATCACCTTCTTCATGTCTTTATCCATTTTTTGCAGCAAATTCCACTTTTTGTTAGGACATCGAAACATACTGTCGTTTTGTAGATCCTTGGGAGCTCCAGCATCGGAAATTCTATTTAACATAATCGAAATTTCAAGTTTACTTTTATAAAATTGCTCTTACAGTCTGCAAAAAATAGTAAGCCAGATCCAATTCAAAGATTAAGGAACAACGGAATCGTCAACATTAACTGAAATAGATAATTTTAGCTTATACCGTCCGTTATACATAAAACGTGCACGCGAAAATGTATTCTGCACTTGCGCACATGCATATACGCAGTCGTAAAGGTCTTACGCGCACGCGTAAACGTCTATGCGCATGTGTCAACGCGGCGCATGCGCAGAAAGTTTTTAGCTTTGAGGTCCGGATTAAGGGTGTCCGAATTAACGACTTTTGACTGTAGTATGTAAATGCATGGTTCAGATGACCATAATTTTGAATTTTGTTTTTGCCTTACATCTTGTTAAAGTTTTAGCCTGTATATGAATAAACATGTTTTTCCATTATTTATTGTTCATTTACTGTTTATACAATTTCTTAATTTTTGTCATAAAAAATTTGACATTTTTTTGCTTCTTTTTTAAAAATGTGAGTAGCATGAGAAGTTCTTAATACTGTTAATACATATTAATTTTAAAATACGGTCCTTTGTTGTTGTTTTGTTTTAAATGAGTTCTTTATATGTTTACAGGTTTCATTCAAAATCGCAAATTGTTTTTCTTGAATTTTTGTTTTAGAAAAGAGTTCTTTACATGTTTACAGGTTTCATAAAAATTGCAACCCTATCATGTAGCGATTTGACGGGTTAGGGATTCTTTTAAATCATACTAATTTTGCGAATTTTTGAAAACGAGTGTTTTATTCTATTTGTTTATGGCAAAAGCATCAAGAGTTTCTCCCTGATCTCGCTACCTTAAAAGAAATTGTGGAGCGTAACTAGCTATAATTAGCAGGGAGTAACTTTGTATGGGAAAATAGCTTGGACATGATACGCCATAAACATAAAAATTCTTTATAATGACTTCCATCATCTATTATAGCTGTAATGTTTAAAATACAACATTTTCAACAAATTTACATTTAAATATGTGCTGAGATAACGTTTTCGATGACGATAGATAACGTTTAATGGCTTCCGAGCTAACAAGATGCAGACAAGAAAAGAGGAGGAAAACAACCCACTTGTGCGGACATAAGAAACACAGACTTAAATGGTCTTTCAGAACTTACCGGTGTTTGAGGCTGTAAAAGAGACTGGGGCTGTGGTGTTAATCCACTGCTGCTAGTATAAGGTTGGATAACACTAACCCCAGTTCTCTGTTGCTGAATATGCTGATTTTGAGGGCTTTGGTGTATAGTATCATGCTGTTGCGGCTGAAGAGGGGAAGGTTGTAATTGTCTCTGAAGTTCTTGTATGTGCTGTTCTTCTACGGGATCAGGTTGGGACGGAACAGACAGTGGGGTACCCAAATTCAAGAAAGAACCAGATATATCCATGATGAATGTTATGATTTTATAAAACTGCTAATTGAAACAATATCACTTGAGAAACTTTAAAAAATTACACATTTCAAAGCATTCTTTTGGAAGTGTGAACATGTATCAATATCCTACACACACCGTTAGCATTATCTATAACAGCATTTATACTTTAATCAACAGGCGCAGCTATCGCTAAGGCCAGGAAGAAAATAAATTATGACTAATAGGTTACAGTTAATTACGACTGATGCATATTAAGAGAGATTATCCATGCAAAAACAAAATCAAGATAAAAGATAATGTTCATTTTAACTTTCGAATAATGATAATTATAATTACAATGTGAAAAGTGATTCAGACTTTTTCCTGTTTTATTTGAAAATCCTGTTTTGAGACTAATGGCCCTTCTTAGCTAATGCTCTAATCTTTTCTTCTGATTATAGAACTTTATTTGCATATATGCTTGACTAGATGAATAAAGTTATGTAACAAAAATTAAATGCAAGCAAAATCTTACTAAATTATGTAACCAATCTACGCTTTTATGTTACGTGTGAAATGGAAAGGATAGAAATGCGAATGTGAATACATTTCTAAACACTACTTACAATCTAAAATTTTAAACATTATTGTGATTACATTCGTAGTATATGTTAATTATACTAAACATTGATTAGCTAGTCAATAAATATTTTAAATTAATAAATTTCGGGCACTAAAATCGCTGGTGGCAATGCGTTTCTCTGGAAGGGTAGATGGTGTGATGAGAAAGTGAAAGTAAAATGTTTTGTTATTTTGTATACCGGCGGCGTGGAATACCCGTTTCGTTATAGTTACGTGTTGTGCGTCAAATTTTTATATATTTTATGAGTTATTAGAACGGAAAAAGTAAGTTTCCATTATATAGTCTCACTTTTACGTGAATTAAAATCGTTATTTTTAAGGAAGATGAGCATAACATGTACTAGTGAAATTGAGATAAGTTTGAACTACGAATGTTGATATAGTTTTAACCTCTATCTGACCTCAGAGACTTAGAGTAATCCTAGTGAAGGGATATGTGTTACAAAATATATCGCCAAAAATCCGTGCAACCGTCTACCAAAGTAGCACCCAAAATATATGCTGTCATTTAACTTTATAGTTATTTTATAAATTTATATGAATTCAATATAAAACACCAGTGACTCCTCGTAGCAAAAAAAAAAAAATTTTATTGTTTTTTTCAGGTATCAAATATGAACAAAATCTGTATTTATCAGCATAAAACTTTGAGAATAAAGAATTAACACAGAATTTTTCTTTCATATTTAAAAGCTGTAATTTTTACATTTTATTAATTTATAAGCATTTTCAGATCATATGCAGGTAAATGTGTGAATTTAAATGTATTTACGTGTAGCAGTTGATGCTTTAATGTTTGTTAGTATACTCCCACGTTCTACTGCAAGTCCACCAGGACTAGCGCAAGGCATTTTGCCAGTTAGTGCAACCTTTGCAAGCTGTAAATTTTGCTGCCTGGCTTCCGTAAATTCTTAAAATTTTTTTTACCCTAAATTTTGTTGCTTGATGCTTTACTTAATTCTGAAATTTTTGCTGCACCTAAATTCTGTTACACTGGCTGTGGCACTAGAGTGCAAGTGGGTAAATCTACTGAACGCTAACAGTTCGACCTGGGCTCAAATCATAATGAATGGGATTTTTTTTTTCCTGTTTGTTCCATTAAGATATCCATTCTCTTAAACAGATAGTCATAGTGATAAGTCAAGTGCCATAATGAAATAATTCAGTCTCCCAAAAGTCTTGAATATGATAAATTTCTAAAGCAAATTATGATGTAAATGCAAACTTCATGTAACTTTGAGTGGAGCTGTGCCTAGGTATTTTCTCATCTGAGGCAAAGAGGTAAATGCATACCCCTATATATACAGTCAAAAGTCGTTAATCCGGACTCGTTGGGACTTCGGCGATTTTTCCGGATTATAGAGCATCAGTTTAAATCTGGTAAGATGGCATGCAGAAATTATAAAATTAAAAATATGAAACCGTAATTTATGAAATAGAGAACAATTATGATCTAAAGGGTATCAAAACTTACAAAAAAAAAGCTTAATATTTATTTGTTTAATTTATTAAACATTTCTTTCAATGTAAGTTGTTTAAGTTGCTTCGTTTCATGTGATAATACTTTCTCTTTAATTCTATAAACAGACATAATTTCTTGTTCAGTTACAAAGTTCCGCTGTTCAAGTCCTATAATTGCTGTGTCGAGAATACTGACTAATTTGTCAATCGAAATTTTTTCGTTTTCAATAACCTCTGTGTCACTTTCTTCACTATTGGAAACGAATTATAATGACGAGGAATTTGATTTAAATCATATCAATGACGGAGTACATCGAGATGAAATACTACATTTAGTAACTAACTAACTAGTTTTATACCTGCTCCGCCAACTTAACGGCACTACAGGGACTGAAAATCAGTCAAAAAGCCACGCTAAGGATGGTTAAACTCGCTTGCTGGACCCAGGGTCCCATATCCCCGAGACACCAACACATTTAAAAAGACCCTCTGATGAACGCTCAACGAACATCGAGCCCACTGCTAAACACGACCAAGTCAAGACCACCGTCTCGGCCGGGCCGAGACCACGGTGGGGTGGGCGATGACAACTTAGGGTCGATGACCGGCCGTTAAATTGGGCTACCTGCCAGTCCTACACGGGATGCCCCTCTCCTTAGGCTTTTACATGGAATACCAAGGACAGCAGGGACCAGACGCTCAATGGCCCAGTTTGCTATTTGGCTACCAATACCCTGGTGGAAGGGACACCTCCCGGCCCATGAAGAGCAAGTATAGACCTACCCCATGGACCATCGGGAACCGCCAAGTTCGTAAATTATATACCCCTGTGGCCGAGACTGCCTAGGTACAGATCCTAGCCAGTAGCTTCGCAGAGTTCTCTACGTCGACTTCCGGGGGGGGGGGCTACATTTAGTAAGGAATTATAAGCCAAGTAAAATAAAAACATCTGCCCTGAAGATAAGGATAGTGCTGACAGATCAACTTCCAATTCATTCCGCGCCGCGGCATTCCCCCCAGCCGCAGAGCAGTGTGAAATTGATAATCAGATTTCAGAATGGTTAGAGAAACAAAGGATATGCCTTTATCCATTTTTTGCAGGAATTCCACTTTTTGTTTGATGGACATCGAAACATACTTTCGCTTTGTAGATCCTTTGGGAGCTCCAGCATCGGAAATTCTATTTGACATAATTGAAAGTTCAAGCTTACTTTTTATAAAATTGCTCTAACAGTCTGCAAAAAATAATAAGCCAGATCCAATTCGAAGATTAAGGAACAACGCAATTTGCAACAGTAACTGAAATAAATAATTGGATAATTTTAGCTTATACCGTCCGTTATACATAAAACGCACAGCCGTAAAGCGCGCGTTATGTTTCCGCATGCGCAGAAAGTTTGTAGCTTTGAGGTCCGGATTATAGATCATTCCGGGTTATGGGTGACCGAATTAACGACTTTTGACTGTAATCATTTATTATTGAACATATTTTGGTCTGTTTGGACCTCTCTAGGGAGGATATTTATACCAGTTTCCTCCTTGTACTTGAGTTTCTTAGTATCAACGGCTTTCTGGACCTTGTCTGACTTCGGCGGAATCTGGAGGAGAAACAGCAACAAAAACATCTATAATCAAATTAACAATAAATTGAATTTAATTTAAAAAATTTTAAAAATTTAAATACATATTTAATTAAATATTCTTTGCGCCATTGCTGCAAGGAATCTTTTTTTGCTTTTTTCCTTTTTTTAGAATTTAAATTTGCTTTTTTACTTTTATACGTATTTGTTAAGAATTTAAATTTGTTTAAATATAATCAAATTAATGTGTCTGTTTAAGTTCTTTATTCAGCAAAAGTAATTATGAATACCATACATGTCTTTATTAATCATAATTTATGCATTCAGAAATTTAATATATATAATTTTTAAAAGGAAAAAGTAAAACATTCTAATTCCTTTTTAATAAACAGAAAATAACACTGAAATAATATAAATAGTACTGCAATTAATATAAAAATTATGACATTAATAGTCAAGCTTAAAAGCAATTCCCCCCCCCATCTTGATGAAATATAATTCACAATTTTTTTCAAAACCTACTTCATTATTAATTTTTTTTCTTTATGGAAAATAGTTACACAGTACAAAGTCTTTAATCCGGACTCGTTGGAAATGTATTTTTACCAAATCTTTCACAGGAAATAGAAGGTAGGCACTCAGTGAGTCTAACCAATTGCTCATAACTCTTTAGAAAAGTAGTCATTACTGTCATCCATATCACTGATTGGCTCATTTACTATGCATGTATATCCTTCCTTTGATAAATAACATTTTTCTCATAAACTGGAGTCGACGCTTTCCAAAATAGAAAGTGAAGTACGTAGTATCTATCTGAAAGCATCACAAAGAACAACAGAACATGATATAATAACCCTAAAAGACCTCTTATAGTAGTGAAGAAAAGATTAGGAGGAATATCAGAAATGCAAATGTTTATATCATTTTGGCAAGTTAAAGAACAAAGATCTATTTGTTTATATTATGTTCTCTCCTTCCCTACAACACCTTTATAGCAGATTGTTGGAAATGTTGAATAAAAAAAAAAAAACATGCCTTTACTTCGTGAAAACAAAATGGTGTCCAAACAAAAACTAGCAGGTTGCTGTAGCAGGGTTGGTCGTCAAATTTCATATGGAAGTCAAGCATATTATGTTCAAACTGAGGGTCAGGATCCTAAAACTGTGTACAGTTTAATAGTAATAGGCACAGGATGCCATCAAGTGGTCTCTAAAAATGTTTTAATTTAAAATGCACTTGTGCATCTTCCAGGGATGCATGAGTGGGGCACCCAGTTGTGAGACATTTGTAGGAAATGCATATATGGAATGCCAGCCCAGAAAACATTTTTAAAAAAATCGGAGAATTGGCGTAAATTTGTCACTGGGCACAAATTTGGTGAAGAGTGACTATCTGCATTTCAACAGAAAAGCAACTCTAGATCTACGATGAAAATTACTGCATTGATATTCATTCTTCCTGCATGCTTTGTGATGATGTTGATGCAATGTAAACAGGCTACTACATTTATTGCTTCAGTGCACATTTGGAAAGTGGATAGAACTTCTTAGGATGTTATGACTAAGAAGACACCAGACTGTAAAATATTTTTTAAAAATTAAATTCTTATCATTTCAAAAGCGAACATGTTATGAGTATGAAAATGAATGCCAAATGCGTATCCTGAAGTTATCGTGGTTAATCTTTGGATTATGGTAACTTGGCGATTTTTTTGCGAAAATTTGGTGGCCAACCCTGCTACAGCAACCTGCTAGTTTTTGTTTGGATGCCGTTTTATTTTCACGAAGTAAAGGCATGTTTTTTTTTTTTTTTTTTTTTTTTTTTTTGTTCATCATTTCCAACATTTTTTTCCGAATTACGCTTATGCTAGAACTTTTATGGAACAAAAGTGCTTAATCATGACGAAGATTAGGTGCGAAATTGGGACAAAGTGCAGAATCGCCCACTGCTTGCCGCGTTTTTAAGAATTGCACATACACGGTATCATCCATGTACACGTCGACCTATTTTCACTTAAAAAAAAATCCCAGAATTGCACAAAAATGGCATTGCGCACACTCTTGACTATATCCATGTACACTGCTAAATTCCTAGCTAGTAACCTTTATCGCCTTACCAAAATGTCGCCAAACTACCTGTTACCATATTCCAAAAATTAGCTGTTATTGTGTTTATTTTGAACATTATGTGATTAATAATTATCCAAGTTTTTTTTTTTTAGTTATTATTTATTTTATGTAAACATAATACTGTGAGAGCTTTATCTGATTTTTTTTTTTTTTTTTTTTTCCTTAAATTTCAGACTGAAGTTTAACAATGGCAAAGAAGTTTTTTCCAAAATTGTTGACTGTTTATTGCCAGGAAACACTTATTCCTTGTTTGAGCCGAGCTACTTTTGCAACATCTAATACCATGCAAAAGCAGACCTGTAAATTTCTTATAGCTGGTGGTGGTACAGGTGGTATTACAATGGCTTCAAGAATACTGCGTCTTGGTGAGAAAGATGTTACAGTAATCGAACCTTCTGAGGTATAATTTATTAATTAATTTAATACTTTTAGATTATACTCTTCCCACCTAAAAGTCATGAATTCTTTGGAGGCTGTTTGCAAACTTATTGGCAAGTTTCAAAAGGAGTATTGTTTGGTTAGCTTCAAATCTATTTCACCAATGCAATCAATGCTGTCTTTTTTACATTCTTCTTTTTCCATAAAGATATGTATACTTTTCAGTTTTTTGTGCTTTTGCTGTACCCATTTTCACAATGATCTGTTGTTAAAAAAATCAGAAAATTGCACAACCTTTGCACCAAAACCCTAAAATGAGACAGGAAAAAGAGGTGCCTGTTGCCTTTAAGTAAACCACATTGTTCTCTGTACTTACAGAAAGCTAAGTCTGAGATTTTGTCAATGAAAACTGGAGTATGCAGTTAATCACTATGCTAAAATTCCCATAGGAAAGATTGTAATCTTCAGTTGTACTGACAAAAATGTTTGCTGATGTGGAAAGCCATCTGAAGGTATCCTATGTGTATACCTGGGCTGTCATATAAATACTTTTTTGGCAGTATGGTACATTGGCTTATGAGTACCTTTTTGTGGCTTTTAGGTGGGGTGCAAATAATCAGAAAGTGATGCTAATTTTAGTTGATTTAAAAAAAAAAAAAAGCCATTACTATTTATACTTTTGTTAGAATAGATTTTTAAATTCTTGTAGTATGGTGTTTCTAATGTAATCATGTTCCCTCTCCCCTCCATTGTTCATCAGTACCTGACTTCTAGAACATTATTAGAAATTATATCCTTTTAAAAATAATTGTTTTTTTAAAACAAAAATTATCTTTCAAGAGAATTAGGAGTTGTTATAACATCTTAAAAAATTAAAAATAGTTTTATAAGCATTCTGTAATTATTGTTATTTAGTAATCCCCCTTGAACTGATTTATGCTTTTATATAAAATCTATTGAAAAAGAATATGAATTTTTAAAATAGATCAATAATTGATAAGTGCCATTCAATCAAACTTATCATCAAATTACTGTCATCTTCTCACCTTCCCAGCTGATCTTTCATTGCTAAAGTGCATATCTTGGTAATCCTTTTATGTGATCATAAGTAAATCTTGCAGTGAATTTGCTTTGATCTCATTTATTATTTCAAATTGTTGACCTTTTTGTGTAGATTTCAATTTCAATAACAAATAGAAGTTCAAAGGGACCAAATCTGAGGAGTAGGAAAGCTACAGGTAGACAGTTATAGCTTGTTTAGCCAGGAATTCAAGGATAAGGAATAATAAGGATGCAGATGCATTATCATGATGAAGCTTTGAGGTCTTGTTTCTCCAAACTTCTGACCTCTTCCTTTATACTGCTTTTTTGAAATGCCTCGTAATACAAGTAAATGTGTGCCTCATTTAACAAATTCATGATTTCTCAATCAAAAAAAGATTATCAATACCATCTTTAGAATCGTGCTTCTTTTTGATCATACGACAATATTCCTACCCAATAGGATGATTGCCTTTTTGTTTCAATGCCAAAGCCGTAAACATTTTCATAACCTGTTATAATGCGTTTTAGAAAGTTTGATTGACATCTGAATGGTTTAACAACTTTCAACTAGCTGAAAAACTAGTGTTTTTTTTTTTTTTTTTTTTTTTTTTTTTTTTTTTAACCTTCCTCTTCATCAGTTGATATGAGGCATTAATTTTGCTGCAGAAGGATGCATCTGGAAATTTTCTATCAAAATAGTGTGATATGAACTTTTGCTGATGAAATCCTAAGCACACTTGTTGGACAGTTAAACAATGAATTGTATAAACCAGAGCACTCATTTTTTCTGGTGTGAAGATCATTTATGAGGAAAATGCTTGATTTAAAATGTTGTTATCATTTGTAACATTGGGACTGCCTGAAATAATCCTCTTAATAAGTTGCAACAATGACAAAATGGTGTGTTCTCTTAAGGAGAGCTGGTGCAAGATCAAGGTTGATGGTTGATGCTATACAACATAATTACAGCAGACTGCCATGTTGACACATTAGTGCTCTAATGTTCGGTTGCTTTTTGAACAGACCTCGTGTACTATTGATAATTGATATGTGGCTAATGCTTTTGCAACTAATGGTTGTAGATGAATACTTTCAGTTACAAAAATGCTTTAAGTGTTTCAAATATTTGTATTTGGTTATTTTTAACTTTATAAAAGCAGTTTTGTAAATATGAGGGTTGGAACTTTAATAGTGGCAACTATTTATTTACAAGGAATACAAAAGTGATTCATGTCACCATGTTTTACAGTCCTTCAATATAGTCGCCAGCATTGTGTACAACCCGTTTCCAATGATGTGGAAGTCGCAGAATACCTGTAGCAGCACCTGTTTTGTTGATAGTTTGAATGGACCGGTCTACTGCCGCAAAAATCTCAGGAACGGTTTGGAAGTGAGTGCCACGAAGTTGTTCCTTCATCTTAGGAATTAAGTCAAAGTCACAAGGGCTTAGATCTGGGGAGTATGGTGGATGGTAAAGCACTTCCCAGTCCCATCGCTTGAACAAATCAGTCAAAGCTTGTGCTGCATGCGGCCGAGCATTGTCATGCAAAATGAGAGGAGCGTTCTGCAGAAAGTGTCGCCGTTTTTTTCTCAAAGCTGGTCGGAGATTGTGCTCCAAAAATGAGCAGTATTAATGCGCAGTGACAGTCTGCTGTAGGGGAACGGTATGTGTTAGGATGATACCATCACAGTCGTACACGAAAATCACCATAACTTTCACATTGCTGGGGTTCTGACAAAATTCGAACGTCATGGTGACCCGTGATGACGCCATTCGTTTGATTGGCGTTTCAGTTCTGGCTGGTACGAAGCATCTCCTTCGCGCTCATAACACTCCAGGTGGGTTCGAGCAGCATCGTATCGTAGCCATTTCTGCATTTCCGTCAATTGATGTGGAACCCATTGTGAAGCAATTTTTCTCATGGACAGGCGTTCCTTCAGAATGTGCAGCACAGTCATATGCGCTAATCCTGTTTGTCCGGCCAGCTGACGAATGGTTTGGCGGTGATCACTGTCCATTAGTGAGGCAACAGCTTGCACGTCTGCATCGCTGACACTCGGATGACCGGACCGCACCATATCTGCCACGTTTTGGCTTCCTTCATTGAATGCTTTTAACCATCTTGCTACAGTTCTGTAAGGCAATGCAGATTCCCCGCAAGCCTCTTGAAGCCCTTGATGACACTGTTGTGCTGTACGACCTCTGGCACATTAAATTTTTATCCAACATCGTTGTTCTTGTTTTGAAAACATCCTGACAACACTTACTTTAGACCGTGAGCTAATACGAGGATCCGTTCTTCGCGTCACTCCGCATGCGCGTGATGTAGGCAGGGCAAGTCTTTTTGCTGAGAGGTAAGGTAGGTATGTAGTTCACGTGTGGTATACATGATATTCTTTGGTTTTATTGCGTAGCGTTTTTTCAGCTGTGTTGCCACTATTAAAGTTCTAACCCTCGTATTATAAAATCTGACTTATCTGCCTCTTCGATAGTTATATTAAGTAAAATTGGTACTTTTCCGTTTCGCCGGCGCATATCTCGCCGAGCAGACTTTATTGCCGACAACATACAGTATACACATAAAAAATATTAAAAAAATGTTAGTTCTAAGAATTCTTTTTTTGAAGGCATAAACATTTTAATATCGCTTAAAATTTTATAAAAAGACAATAAATTTGTAAAAAGACATTAATTTAAGAATTTACTATGCTTTCATAGTTCAACATCCTGATTCGCCGGTTTATATCACGTGACCCCAAGCGATCTCATCTCACTTAAACTACTCTACAAAAATCTAATGCTCTCAGTAATTATCTACATTAATTTCAAGTTAAATCTTAATTTGGAACACAAGTTTGCAAGAAATATTTCAATTCGTACGAATAGCTTACTCAGAAATTATTTAAAACTGCAGTGCTTTACTTCGCTAATTCATTCTCGTTAGAATTGGTGAATTTAAACCTTGACTTTACCTTTTCTATATTTTCGGCTTCGGGTAAGCGCTGTGATTGCATCCTAATTGACTTAATTACCGAAAATGGCCTTAGACATAAAACTGAACTATCTGATAAAAATTCTATGTAATTATATGCCAGTATTGAAAGAAACAATCAATCTGATAAGAAAAAGCTGCGAGTTGTTTTGAAAATGAGGCTTAAAAGGTTACCAGCGAGAATACTCTGTTTGGCATCGGTTGTACCATTATTGGCGACTTTATCACTTGCGCCGGCAAAACGGAAAAGTACCGTAAAATTTTATACTCTTTATAAAAAATGAAAAAAAAAGTTATATTTCTGCAAGACAAAAATTGAGCAAAATATTTAATTTCAAAATTTGGTATATTTGCTGATTTTTTTGGTATTTTTTAAAGGTTCAGTTAAAAAATAAATTATAATAATTTGAGATAATTTTCTTCCCCTTAATGTCATTTAATGACATTCTTTTATGATTTATTAGTGTGTGTTAATGTGTAACCTTCTTACAATTCCTTACATTGCATAATCAAATGCATTTTCTGGCAAGTAATTTACGAGTTTTTAAGTGCTAAAATTCTATTTACAATATTCACATACAGTTTTATTACTTTATTATCATAATCAAATAATCAAAATAATTTATTTGACTAGAAGTATTATTCACTTTTAATTTATGCAAATAATATTACAAGTTGATTATGTACCAATATTGAAGCTTGTCACTGTTTTCTAAAACAAGAACTCTTAAGATTCTGTAAATAAAATCTCCTCTTTGAAAAGTGTTATGTTGATCAATGCTTTCCTAACAGTCTGTATAGCAGTGTTTATTGCTTAATCTGTTTACTACAGAAATTTATTTCTAAACTGATACAGTCAAATGTCGTTAATCCTGACTCGTCGGGACTTCGGCGATTCCGGATTATCGATTTTTCCGGATTATAGATCATCAATTTAAATCTCATAAGATGGCATGCAGAAATACTAAAATTAAAAATATGAAACTGTAATTTATGAAATAAAGAACAATTATGATCTAAAGGGTATCAAAATTTACAAAAAAAAAAAAAAAAAAAAAGCTTAATATTTATTTGTTTACTTTATTAAACATTTCTTTCAATGTAAGTTGTTTAAGTTGCTTCATTTTATGTGATAATGCTTTCTCTTTAATTCAATAAACAGACATAATTTCTTGTTCAGTTACAAAGTTCCGCTGTTCAAGTCCCGTAATTGCTGTGCCGAGAATACCGACTAACTTGTCAATCGAAATTTTTTCTTTTTCACTAACCTCTCTGTTACCTTCTTCATGTCTTTATCCATTTTTTGCGGCAATTCCACTTTTTGTTTGATGGGCATCGAAACATACTTTCGTTTTGTAGATCCTTTGGGAGCCCCAGCATCGGAAATTCTATTTGACATAATCGAAAGTTCAAGTTTACTTTTATAAAATTGCTCTTACAGTCTGCAAAAAATAATAAGCCAGTTCGAAGATTAAGGAACAATGGAATCATCAACATTAACTGAAATAGATAATTAGATAATTTTAGCTTATACCATCCGTTATACATAAAATGCACACGCGAAAACGTATTCTGCACTTGCACACACACGCCTATGCGCAGTCATAAAGGTCTTACGCACACGCGTAAACGCCTATGCGCATGCGCAGAAAGTTTTTTAGCTTTGAGGTCCGGATTATAGATCATTCCGGATTATGGGTGTCCGAATTAACGACTTTTGACTGTATTTCATTTTTAGCTACAGACAAATGCAAACATTTTATTCTTCAATTTGCATACTACCCCCAACAGTGACTCAGACTTTGAAATTAAATATTTTAGTAAAATTTTGTCACATTTAAGCCAAATTTCTTGTAATTTCCACGTAAAATGCTAGATTTCATAATTTTTGACTTATTTAATTTAAAATTTTACTTTAGTAACTGACTTTTTAAATTTTCAAATGCCATGACATGAATCGTTTCCCTATTTAAAACATTTTTGTAATTTGTGATGCATTAAATTCCTGATTAATTAGAGTAATTCATGGATTTGGGGCATCCATGGTTAACCCAAAATCATAGTTAATCCAACAGTAGTCAAGCTTTGTACTCGGAGAAGAATCAGTGGGAAACATAAGAGTAATGGTTGTACACTTAATTTATTTTTAAGATGTAACAATATATTTTTAGTGGATGATTTGCCAGTGTTTATGTATTCCAGATTATATGCAATTAAATTGTATACAGTTGTATATAAAAGCAATTTCTAGTTACTGTTACATCATCTGCTATCACTGCTATTCTCGCATGAGCATATGAGATTTTACTTAATAAGTAAGAAATTCAGATTAATATTAAATTATTGAGAGCTGCTGTTTTCTTATCTTTTTATGAATAATCTAATTTTAATTATATTCATTGTTTTTATTAAACTATTTTTTATTGATAATAAATAAAAGTATAATATTGTATGCACTATTTTGCTTTTTTCAGAATCATTATTATCAGCCTTACTGGACTTTAATTGGAGGACAAAAGAAAAGTCTTCCTGATTCTTGTCGTCCAACTAGTAGTGTGATGCCACGTGGTGTGAATTGGGTAAAAGACAAAATTGTAGAAATTGATCCTTTGTCTAATTCTGTTTGTACTGCTAATGGTAGAAAAGTAAGCATTTGTTTCATGCATATTTTTTTTTATTTGTTAATTGTGTTTTGTATGCTTATTAAAAATTTCTTGAAAATTGAAATTCATTTTCAGAATGTTTTTTAGTAAATAAAAAGTGCTGGAAATCTTGGATTTTGAAAGTCTTGAAAAATACCTAAATTTTTCATTCTATTTAAAATGGAATGGAAAAATCATCAATCTTTTCCTATTGAGTCGATGTTCATTAGTAGAAGTAAACAAAATGTATTTTCTTTGCATGTTTGACTTGGGATAAATTACTTCATCATCATTGGAAGTAGCATGTATTCTACCAAAACCTTGATGTACAGCGCGCAAAAGGTGGGACAGTTCTATATCTCCCGTTCTACTCGGCCGATTAACAAAATTCAAATAGCGTTTCTCATATCTCAAAAACGCGGCTTAGGATATATAGGATTGTTTTAACAGAGGTATTTTGACACAAAATGGGGCTTTTTCTGAAATAGCATAAACATAACAATTGTTTTTCCCTATTTCAATTCTACGGCTCAAATTATGCCTAGATATTAAATTTTGTAAAATTTGGTGCGAAATTTACGGAGTTATTAAAAAATTTATCTCGGCACAATTTTTTTTAAATTTGCGCCAAGAATAATTCACTTGGTAAACCTCTTTAACATGTGGCAACCAATTTTCCTTTCCCTTCCATTATGCTTAAGCGGGAAAAAAGGCACGTCATTCCTACCTTTTTACATTGTGCATGAGCGGAAAAAAATTCACTGCGTTTCTATTTCCAAAGAATTTTAGCAAAGTGTGTAAACCACATTTGATGTTTTATCACTTTCAACAAATATACCAAATTTTAAAATGCGCCAATATATAAATTCACGTATATCTTCAGAAATTTTGAATAAAAAGCTGTAATTTTTTGCAGCTATACTTAGAAATATGTCTACTTTAAGATGATAGTAAAAATTTTATAGATTATAATTCAACAATTTTTTTGAAAAATTTATAAAAATTATTTAAAAATACAAATTTTAAAAATAAATCATAAAAAAATGGGGGAATTTTATTTGTAATGAACCTAAATTTAAAAATGTGAAGGGAAGAATCAAATAAAAAGAGAGATTATAAATATATGCCAAATTCAATTAACGTTGAGGAACTAAAATTTTAAGAGCTATTTTTTTAAAAAACTACTTGTGTAATTTCTACAGAACTTAAGTTTAGCGTGATTTAAGTCGAAATCGAAATATGGAAAAAATTGGTATTTTATTTCAGAAAAAGTCTGATTTTCTGTCAAAATGTCAATATAAGAACAATGCTATATATAAATCTAATACATATCTTAAGTCGCGCTTTCCAGACATGAAAAACGCAAATTGAACTTCGTCAATCGGCCCAGTAGAACAGGAGATATAGAACTGTCCTCACCTCTTTTTTACCCCTAATAATGGAATTTATGTAGTAGGATTAGATAATCTGAATTTTGAAGTGAATATACAGCAGGAATATCACTGTATTCTGAACATATTGTTTTATGGCTGTAATTTATTGAATATTATATTGGAAGATAATTAAAACATATTTATGTATAGTCAACTCCTGATTAACCAGGATAATACAGTGGGTAATCGGTTAACGAACAGTTCAGACAGCGAACAAATCGAACAATGAACACTTTCAGGAAAGATTTTTGTGTTCGGACAACGAACAATATCTGGATAATGAACAAAAACTAATTCTAACGAAAACCTCTCGGCTCTCAGAACACCCGACACCAGTCCTCAATTCGTCCTGAAAATGGATGTGTGCGTGCACTAACACGTCATCATTGGATGTGCGCACGCGCAGACATGTCATCATTGATACTATGTAGCAGTGAGGCAGCACCGCACAACGTGTACGGTAGTGTGCGACGACACTTTGCCAATTATATACTATAGTTGGTTTCTGTCCATGTGATTTTCGTATGTGCTTCTCTAAATGCTTTATAAAAAAACTTTCCCTGGCTGACAGTGCAGTTTTTTACCTCGGAATATGACTTCACTGATTCAGCCAATGGATCAAGAAGTTATTGCAGGTTTCAATAAATTGTACACTCATGAGCTGTTTTGGCAATGTTTTGAAGCATGTCAATTCTCCTCAAAAATGACTTTAAAAACGTTTTGGATAGGAAAATTTGACATTCTTTGAAGCTATTCGTCTTATTGAAAAGGCGTGGTCAGAAATCACTCGACGACAGTTGGACCAAGAAACTCAGCGAAATGTGTTTCCCTCTGAAAAAGAGGAAGACGAAAGAGGAGCAAAGCCAACATCTGCCATTAAAGAGCTTTTGAAGAAGTGGGAGGATAACACAGCAACGGTCTTAAAATGGCACCCAAACCAAGCTGATGTCAATAGGTTTGCTGATCTCTACAACGACATTGCTATCAATCATTTCCTGAAAGTCCCGAAGGAGAGAGAAAAACAACCGACATTGGACATGTTCTTTAACGCCCAAAGAATGGAAAAGGACTGATTAATAAGTAAGACTATATGTATATATTATATTTGTAATAAATAAACTTACTAAGAAATTATACTTGTACATGACATTTTTTTTTAATTTAATTTTTAGGATCACCAGAAGGAATTAATCAAATTCCCATTAACATGTATGTTAAATCGTGATCGGTTAATGAGCGATTCGGATAGCAAACATAATCTTGGAACAGATTATGTATGTTAACCGATTACCCACTGTACCAGGAGAATTTTAAACTCAAAATCGCAAATTAATCCAGTCTGAGTGCAGACGGAGTAACCCGTATTATAATAAACAGAATAATACTACTAAAAATTTACCTGGATTTTCAAACATTTGATTTAGAGAATAAATTCATTTGGTTATGTAAATTAAATCAATATTCAAAAGAAAAAAGACTTTCAATAAAGGACTGAAGAGTAAACATAAAGTGAAAGACTTTGAAGGAGCTAAGTTGTAAATGACGTTAAGTATTTGGAAGAGAACTTGAACGATGTCGTTGTGATCTAACTAGCATTGTTTCATTATACAGGGTTTGTATATTCTGGCTTGCATACATTAAATTACAAAATATTGCAAGTAAAAACTATTTCCAAATCTTATCATGTATACTGCTTATGCTACTGCTATTCTAAATACTTTTCGTTTCATTTTTGTTATTCCTTTTCGAATAATTTTTCATTATTCTGCTGTAAAAATAGTACTGTACAAAGTCCATAATCTGGACTCCTTGGTACTCCGGCGATTCCGGGTTAGGGCTTTTTCCGGATTATAGATCATCAATTTAAATCTGGTAAGATGGCATGCAGAAATTATACAATTAAAAATATGAAACCGTAATTTATGAAATAAAGAGCAATTATGATTTAAACGGTATCAGAATTTACAAAAAAAAAGCTTAATATTTATTTATTTACTTTATTAAACATTTCTTTCAATGTAAGTTGTTTAAGTTGCTTCGTTTTTTGTGCTAATACTTTCTCTTTAATTCTAGAAACAGACATAATTTCTTGTTCAGTTGCAAAGTTCCACTGTTCAAGGCCCTGCAATTGCTGTGTCGAGAATATGGACTAACTTGTCAATCGAAATTTTTTCAATATCCTCTCTGTCACTTTCTTCACTATCGGAAGCGCGCATTAAACATGCATGTGTAAAGCATTAAAAAAAAAAATTGTAACTTTGATGTCCTTATTATAGATCATTCCAAATAATGGACGTCCGGATTACGGACTTAGTACTGCATAACTCTCTTTAAAAAAAAATGGTATGGTTGACTGTAAAATATTATTTACAACTCTTTTGAAAATCTAAATGAACCATTATATATTTGGACTTTTTAAATGGAGAAATATTTTTGTATATTATTTTATATTTTGATGTCGCAATAATCTTTAAAGTTGTAAATGTATTCTATAGTAAAATGTTCCAAAAATTCATTTTATTGATTTTATTCTAGATCTTCTGAAAAATGTAATTTTAATTTTAATGCATTTGCCTTTCTCTAGGCTGATGTGTCTAGTGTTGATCATCACATCAAAGGAAAGGAAGGGAAAAATATTTAAAATTAGCAATGATTTTCTCTTCTGAAGCCAATTAAAAGTCAGGTGATAAAATATTTAACACTGGTGGTTGCATCCCTGCACCAAAATGAGTATATTTTTGTGTAGTGTGAATCATTTCGTTTATAACATTCTTCACCAAGACATCCCTTCCAGTGTAGATAACCCATCACTTAAATTAAAAGTTACATAATTCTTTATCTAATATCAGATGCATGTACATGTAACATGTCAATAACAAAAACTTCTTTGTTAAGATCATTGTTTACTTCTCTGACTTCAGTTCATAACATAAATCTCATACTATTAAAATTGTGCATGTGAGGAAATTGTTATTTTACGAGGCTGTATTGTTCATATTTGCATCGAGAGCCTTTATGATAAACTTCATGCAGCAGCAAAATTATATTCTATCTGCACAGCTGTAGATTGCTAATTCTTGGTTGTTTTATTTATTTATTTTGCATATAGTTAAAAGAAATAACATGTTAGATTTTTTTGAGCTAGTCCCCCCCCCCTTTCAAAGCACCAAAGTTTTCTTTTAGTCTCAAAACTCGTCTTTTGTCCATATCATATTTGTGTCCTTATTACTTTTCAAATTGTTATCACTAAATTTTATTGTGATGTGTAATAAAATGTGATAATAAAGCTTGATGAAAAAAAAAGGGGGGGAGATTAGGAAGAGTGAATTCAAGAGCAAATTGGTAACCTGCAGTTTTTTTGCTCAAGCCTTAGGATTGTTATGCACATTAATTTATTTCTTGCATGCATATTGTAAAAACACTTTTTATAAACTGATAACATTATGTAGTGATGGATTTCTGACTTAATTGCTTTTCATCAAATACTGCAGTGTCAAAAATATGTGAAAGAACTTTTTTAAACATTGAGAATATATGAAATAAAAAATTTTTACCTTGCAATTTATGTATTTTATGACTGCTTTTTTTTTTGAAAAATAAAAGTATATATATTCTTGTCAGTGGGACATCAGTTGAAATTTCTGAACCATTATGTCAAATGTGGTACCTCTTTATTCTCTATTTTTTTTTTATTATTCATAAGTAAATATGTAATGATGTTATTGAAAATAAACAGGAAATATGAATATTTAATTCTGGAACTTTAGAGAGGGAGATAGTATGTAATAACTATCACTAGTAGAATTCTGCCATTTGCAATGTGTGTAATAAATAATTCTCTTAGAGATGAAGCAAAATTTAGCATTCGTTACCTTTTGAAAATAAATGATTCAGTTGCTGAAAATGCTTAAGCTTGTGTCTTAAAAATAATTTTTTATATATTGATATTGCAAATTAATTCACAGCAATAATTAATCATTTTATTTGTTTACAATTCAATTTTCATAATTTAAAATTTTAATTAGCATTATATGAATTAGATAATGCTATTGTGTTTGTTAAATTCAAATTTCATTCCTTGCAGCAATGGTGCAACAGAATTATTTAATTTTATTTAGCTTTACTAATTAATTTTTTATGAAGCAATATGTATATTGTTATATACAAAATATGTATATATATATTCTGCAAAGAAATAATGATATTTTTTTATTATCCATACCCCTTCCCTGAAAAGTCACAAACCATTCAAGATTAATTTTTTGCTAGAGTGAGTCATGAAAGACAATAGCCATTTTAAAAAAATACACTAAGAATTACATAAAACAGGAACCAATTAACAAAATAAAAAATACAAGTCTGTAATAAAACACTTTTTTGGCACTGTTTTCACCATGTAGATAGTGATCTCTTTTATTTTCAGAAAATATCAGAGATTTGCAGAAACTCAACATCATTCACAACTTGACATTGCACACTTTTTTTGTTCTCACTACGTAGAGCAACCTGTTTTTGCTTTTAAAAGAATTTAAAAATTGCACAAAATTTGATTCATAAAAGGTCGATCATTTATGAAGTACAGCTTCATGGAATACAAATTTTTGCATTCTGTATTATTAGAGAAAACACCATACTTCTGAAGAAATGAAATGCTGTCTTTTTCATCTGCCGGCGAACTCCACAGGCCCATTACAATTGAATTTGTTACAAGGGGGGAATGCGCTCAATGACTCAAAAACAAACACAAGTATCCTTCAAATTTAAAAGTGAAAATGCAGCCTTTGGTGAAAAGTGGCTTTCATCTGCTGTGCACATGCCTAGCTACATTGCTACATAAATACAATTTGGCAGTGTCATGTATTGCCTGTTTGGCAACATAGCATGTTGTATCGCAAATACTTTTCAGGGTGTACAGATATTCAATGTAATTTTAATCAGTAATCTCTTGACTTCCCCTTTTTTTTAATAATCATTTGAGGCTTTCAAATTATTTCAGAATACCACTTTCAAAGAACTACAAATATTTTTTGTGCAAGATTTGACACTGTTGTTTGAAGTTAAGGTGTTAGTTAGATGAAGTTAAGGTTATAGGGAGTTTTCTAGAACAAAAAAACAAATGGTATTCTAATGGGAAACATTAAGTATGGTAATGTCCCAGCCAAGCATGAATAGTTTTTAACAGGTGATTAAAGATATATCTGGTTTCGATACTGCAGTAATGGAATGCCATTCTTTCATGATTTACCAACTGTGAATATTTCTGTTGGAAAACATCTCTTAATTTTGTTAGCTGATAAAAATGCACAAGTACAGGTACAAGTGGACGGGACACCGAAATTTCACCATTAGTTGTACATGTATGGTTCCATCGCACTGGTTGGACAGCTGCACTCCTTTTTTGATGGAGAGCACCTCAGGGTATAGTCAAGAAAATCTCCCACCTCTCTTTCCGTACCACTAAAAAAAACTTCAGCTCACCAGTATTTTAAGTGCTTCAATGCTGCAGGGACAATATATTTTTACAAGCTTCAACAATGTCTTCTCCAGGATTTAAACATCAGTCCATCATTATGTCAATCACCATCACTAACTACTGTTTCCAGTAGGCATCACGATGACAATAGATAATGTATGCTAGCTTGGTTACTTTGATTTTGGTGAAAATTTGGACAATTCCTAATGTTTTTGTACTTTCCTGTCAGCAGCAAAAGTTGACAGAGATTCTGTCAAAGTAGTACCAGTTATTCTGAGGTGAGTTTAAAGAAAAGATTGCTCTTTATTTGGTTAAATAATCAACAAATACAAGTTGCTTTATCCAATGCAAATCAAATTGATATTAATTTGTGTCTTTTTCACATTACATTATTATCATATATCCATATGATTTGCATTAATAAGAGATTCAAATAAATCCCATATCGGGCCTATTAACATGCATGCTTTTGGGTGCTGGTATTGCATAACATTGAAAATACTCTATTGCTTGTTGTTCCATAGAAAGCAGAACCAAAATCTAAACAAGTTTTACTTTTTAAATAGGGGGACAAAGAATTTGTTGTTAGTTCCTTTCTTTCTTTACTAAACTGAACTTATTTTAAATTATTTGGGTTAAATGAAACTGCAGGCTGTCATTTTGTGAGTGTATTGTTACATCATGCTTAATTATCATTAGTATTAAACCATACTGTTTGACAACAATTTTTATTTGTTGAAAGGAAGGTACAAAAGTATCAAATTCCCTTCCAAATCCACTACTTCTGATGACATGACCTTCTTTGTAAAATGGTCATTAGTGGTTATTTTGGATAAATTTAGACTGAACAAGCTCAATTCAGTTATGTGAAGCTCTCCTTCAATCAGTGCATTTAATTTGTCAACCTTAATCTCAGTTGGTCTTCTTGAATGTAATGCAGTTTGAACTGAAAAATCATCTGAACAAAACTCCACAAACTAGTTCTGGATATGCATTCTGTTGGTGCTTCATTACTGTAGACTGCCAAAATAATTTTGTATTTGTGAAAATAAAATTTAAATGAAACAAAAATGTTGACTTTTATCTTCTACTTATCAATATGAAACATAAGTATTCCATGATTTTGGCAAGTTTTAATTTAAATGCATGCTGATAATGTCAGTTGCCATAATTCATTCCCAAAGAACTATTTCAGGTAATATTAAAATCGTCTGCATACTACTGCAGCAATCTTATGAAAAAGCCAAAAGTAATTCCCATGCAACTCAGTATTGAAAATAATCACAATAACTTTCATCCTTCTGTCAGTTACGATATTGCTTGGATTTTCTGTAGGCTCGATTTTTAGGTTATTTTCTCACTTATGAGCAAAATTCATTGTGCATATCTTAAAGATCCCTTCTTTGATTTTAATTCTTTATCATTAATTTATAATGTATCTTATGATTAATTTATAATATATCTTACTAGTGTGATTTTACATATATTGGCCTGACTAAAGCAGCAATAAAAATTTTGTATCAAGGAACATAAATCCTGAGTTCAAAAGAAGAAATAAACAAATATTTGGTAGCTTTTGTTGGTAATTATATTTGGTCATTTAACCACAATTTTTATTATGGTTTTACCACAAAACATTAGCCACAAAGTTTTTTAAGTTGATAAAATTGGATTTCCTTGAAGCCTTTCAGGTTCATAAAAATTTAACTTCTTTAATGAGTAGCATTATTTCCAATACATTTTTATTCCACTAAATTCTAAGATATTTTTATTTTAATTCTAGTATCTTAGCGTTGTTATTTTCCTTAAAGGTATTTCATTGCATTCTTTATTGCTTTACTCCACCAAGTTCTATATGAAATAGTTCTTGCTGATTCTCACCATTGCAAAGTTGTATTACTTCTAAAGAAGAGGGACATGTGTCATCGTCCTCTAAATCAATAGTTTTATCCAAAATCTCTGCTATTCTTAGATCGCCTTTTTTGTGATGGATGGCAAATTTTACATTTTATTTCAGCATGTTTCTCTTTCATTAAAACCCAGTGTTTATAGATCATAAAAATCATTTTGCCAATTGAGTTTTTATGTTAATAAATATCTGTTGAGTTATTGTTGTAAATTTTTAAGAATGAAATTTTCGAAGCTAAAAATGTAATTCAAAAATAAAATTTTCAAAATGCATTTCCCATCTTTATACTATCATGATCATAATTGTTTTCATTTTAGATAGAATATTCTTATCTAGTGGTAGCGCTTGGGCTTCATCTTGCTTTTGAGAAGGTAACAAATCCTAGAGCTTAATATTTTGTTATTCTAAAATATTTTGATTCTTTTTAATTGATTTAAAACTTAATTTATTTAAAATTTTTGAATTTTTTGTGAGAAATTTATATAAATTTATTTTAAGAGCAGATCAAGGGCCTACCTGCAGCTTTTGAGAGCAAAGGCGTTTGTTCTAATTATTCATCACAGACTGTTAGAAAAACAGCTCAAGCACTTGATGATTTCGTGAAAGGGAATGCCATTTTTACTCAGCCAGTAAATCCAATCAAATGTGCAGGTGCGCCACAAAAGATAATGTATCTGGCTGAAGAATATTTTTCAAAGGTAAATATGATGTGAGCAGATGCAAATTACAGTTTATATTGTTTTCTTATAGTTAAATTAAAACCATTTGAGAAATTCCACACATTTTCTTAAGAGCTAGTTTTAAGTAAACAAAGGAGCATATAGCAGGTAGGCCAAACTCCAGTGCTTGTGTCTTTTTGGCCCCTTAAATGTGACTTGCATCATAAAGAACAAAAGATTTTGTTTTTGAAATATTCCAAAATGAAACAACATGCTTTTTTAATAATTAATAATTTCTTTTTTAAAATTAAGTACATTAATGTCAAACAATTTTGATACTATGCACTGTTTCTGTGACTGCTTTGGCAGTGTTACTTTTAGAACATATTGAGGTTATAAATGTCATGTAGAATAGCAACATTCTGTGCTAATGGTGTACATTGCCTCATATATTGCCGAATGGCGCTCTGAATACTTTGGTTGTAACTTGCAGTAGGGAAAAAATGTGTATCTTATTATCAGTTTAATATGTTAAATTATCTAGGTTTAGCTTCTACCTAATATTTTGGCCCATGCATTAGTTGTGCACAAAACTAAAAATTTTTATGCAAAAATCTGGTAAGCTGATAGTTTATTTTAAATAATTTTCATATATTGTAGTTTTTCCTTCAGAATGCTCTACCTAATCTCACTTGCTTTTAGAGTAAGGAGTAAAGATGGAAAGTTGATCATTCTGTCCTGAATGCAGCACAAAAACAAAAAGGTTTATTTATTTGTATTTATATTAGCAATATTAATTATAAAATTCAGCATCATTCTAAAGTATTTGAAACACTACTTTCTGTTCCCAAATTATTTTACTGCTTTTATAATAATATAAATGTTTAATTATGGCTCTTAATTTGTCCTCGGTGCTAGTATGCGACTCTTATTGACATCAACTTTGGATATCCCTAGGTACACTATTGTTTAATTTATTTAAATTTAGAATATTATAGAATTTTATATAATATATATATGTGTGTGTGTGTATAAGATTAAAAAGAAAAATAGTAAAGTACTAACTGTAATTTGCTTTTACTTTCTGTTTTAATTTGGATATTTTCCTTTCTATCCTAAAAATGGTAACTGCTTAAGGTACATCTTTGTAAACTGCATAATTTGGAAATTAATCCATGTCGTATGTATTTTACATAATCCTGTTTGATAATGATGGTTTTGCGAACTAAAATTCCAGAAAACTAATGATAATTTTAGAGAATTATTAACTAGCAATGAGGCGATTGCAAACCAAAATGTCTGTATGTGTCTTTCATTTGTACTGTGCCTAAGCTAATAGACCCAAGGCTACGAAATTTGGTATATAGATGCATCTAGACAAGAGCCAGTGCACCTCAAAGCGATTTTTTTAAAAATTTGAATCAGTTTTTTAATTTTATCTTTTCGATCTTTATCGCAGCATTTTGAATAGTTTCATTCTTTTAAAAATGTGGTATTGGCAACAGTTTTTCATGCAATTGTATACTGTACTGCTGACTGTTGAAAATCAGCACTGTTGCCACTTGGGAAAATGAGGTCGATAATTCTATGCAGTTTTTAAATTTAATGTTTCTCTTGGATACTGGATGTTTGTTGAGAGAAGGCAACAGGAATTTGGTTAATTTATTTATTAAGATAATTAATATTTGTATTAAGGGATATTGCTTATTTCATTTTTTTTATGAAGTTGTTCTGCAGAGTAAAATTCTGTGCAGTTTTTAAATTTAATGTTTGGTATTCCCTTCAGGCATTTTTCCAGTACATTTAAAAGCCAAATGAAGGCTGGCCGTGTAGCTGCTAGTGAGGAATAAAAGAAGTATTCTAATCTAACTATAACTGCAAGTTTCATCATTCTATTAGGCTTTGTTTATGATGTTATATGTATATGATGCTATGTTTTTTTTTTTTTTTTACATATTTATAACATGTGTGTATTATTTAATGATGTAAAGTTTTTACCTAAGGAATAAAAATTGACAAAACTATTTGGTTTCTTTTTCATTCTGTTTTATTTAACTTTTTAGTATGTAAAAAAAAAAAAAAAAAATTTAAACTCTGCTTGTGCTTGCTAGTATTTTCTAACTGTTGCTGTCTTTATTATCAATTATTATAAAAACTTTTGATATTTTGAATGTCAGATGACTGCCTGTAAGAAGCCGTTTGTATGAGAATTTAGCTTGTGCTTCAGTTGAACATGCAGAAAATGTGAGAACTTCTGTATGTAACCCATGCAGAAATTTTACTGAAAATTAGTAATTTCTGTTACTAGCAAAGATAATTTGACAAACTTTTAGAAAAGTTATCTAATGGAAAGCAGTATTAAATTAAAAATATCTAAGACTGCATGTAAAATACATTCGAACATCAAAAACATATCACTCTCTAGATTGATTAAATACCGATGTGTTAAGTGGGAGATTCTAAAATATAATTTAAAAAGTATCTGTTGTTATTCATGTTGCTATTTTTCAGACATGTTAAAACTTTATTATTATTAATGAATAATTTATCTGAATTAAATACTAAATTTTTTTAAAAGAATGTTAATTGAATCAAACTCTTCTTTGTGACATTCAGAATATGAAGAAAAGAGGAAATAAAATATGTAATTTATACAAATTCTGGGATTTTGAAACTTTATAAATGTCTTTGTTTTCTGGTTTACTCTATGTATGTTAGTATTTTGATATAGAATTCTATCACTTGTTTTAGTATACCTTTAGACTGTTCTGTGTTTGCATTTAAATTTTTCATTATGGTAAACTGTAAATTTTATTATTAAGTTTTAAATCATTTTAATTAATTTAGTAATATACTTAAATTTATTACATCCGTCTTCTATACATGAAAAGAATGATGTTTAATCTTGGAAATGTAGTTCATATTTAACACAAAAATTAGATTTTAACTATAGGATTTATTTATTTAATTTTCAATTTAACCATATTTCAAGCTATACATCTTTTTGTGTGTGTGTGTATTCTATATCTTTCTCATATGATATAATGAAGTGCCATTGAATGAGTTATATTATTATGCAAATATCCCACCTATGCTGCCTCATTTTTATGCTTGTGAGGATGCTGCTAAATGATGTATATAACAGGAAGTGTAACTCACTCTAAGCAATTGTTAAAAGGAATATGATGAGTAAAACTTTCAATTTAGATGACTTCGATCAAAATCAAATAATAGGTGCTCAGTGCATCAGTCATTCAAAGATAATTAATATAGTGATCATTTTAGAAATAGTTTGAGAAATGAGATTTTCTTCTTCCACAGCATCAAAAGTAGAGTGAGAATACACAAATAGTAGAAAAAGGAAAAATAATCGAGCAAACTGAAAAGGGGCAAGCATAATCATGATCTGAGCCATATTATAGCTAGTCATTGATATTGTACCATAGCTGAAATTATAAGGAATCCATTCGAACAGTTAGTATACAGACTGTGCACACATGCTTTGTTTTCTGGTCTTCAGAAGCAGAGGATCTTTAAGAGTGTCACTTCTCACTGCACACTATATACTCAATGCAGAATGGTACAGAAGAGTGCCATAAATGAACAATCAATAATTGGAAGTGAGTAGCATGGAGTGATGACTCTGAGATTATGATGTCAAACCCATAAAATCATAGATCCGTCATGCCAAGTTTAGAACTGTTATCATGGTATAATAGATAAGGTCATGGTGACTCAATGATGATCTGCATTGTTTTCTCTTGCCAATGTTGGGGATCTTTGGAACTCATATCAAGAACTCCCAACTGCATCTAAGTATGTAGATACAGTGGCTCCCAAAAGTGTTTGTACACTTATAATTTTCATTGATATAGAGCTCTATCCATTAATTAAAAGTAAACTTTTTGAATGAGATTTTAATAATAAGATCTATAATCTATTTGTAACAAAATTACATGAAATATTTTTAAAATATAGCGAAACTTTCTTTTTAAGAAATTAATAGTCAAAAAATGACAAAAATTTTTCTCGCAAAAGTCTTTGTGCACCTCAAAAAAATCTTGACATATTAGTAAATATTTTCATTTTTCATTAAATTAATATTTAGTAGGATATCCTTTAGCATCCAGAACAGCTTTTAAATGTCTGGGAATAGATTTTACCTTTTTCTTTTTTATATATATTTTTTTTGTAATTTCTGTATCAATGTTCATCCATGCTTCCATCATGACTGTTTTGAGTTCGCTTTTCGTTTTCATGTCGTGTTTCCGTACTCTAACCTGCAGTTCTTTCCAAATGTGTTCTATAGGGTTTAAATCTGACGACTGAGTTGGTGTTTTCAAAACCTGTGGACAATTATAGAGACACCACAGGCGAACGTTGAGAGCTGTATGCTTAGGATCATTATCATGATTAAAAATAAACTTATTTCCAATACCCAAATTTTGAGCTTTTGAGCTAATAATTTTAAATTGTCTCTTAAAATATTTAAATAAAGGGAATGATTCATTATGCCATCAACAAATATCAAATTACCTAGTCCTGATGCTGCCATGAACCCCCCACACAAGAACACATCCACTGCTATGCTTAGCTGTTCCAACTAAGTTCTTAGAATGAAGTTCCTCATTTTTTCTTCTCCATACATTTATTCAACCATTGTAACCTCGGTTGACCTTTTCTTACCTTGTTTTCAATCTGATTTTCTTCTTTAAAGCTTTTTATCACATACTCCACTGTAGAATGGGATAAATTAACTAATTTAGCGATATTTCAAATTGATTTACCACTACTATCAATTCAAAATTATCAATTTTCGAATGTTGTTTGTAATTTCTTCATGACTGCAACCCATTTTTCTATAATAAATAGAATATTATGAAGTAAACAATAAAAAATGAAAGCAAATGATTTTTTAAATGCCACCACAATGCAAAAATTAAAGTGACAAACCATAATTCTAATTTTGATTTTATCCAAAAATATTTCAGTGTACAAAGACTTTTTGAGATAAAATGTTTGTCATTTCTTATTATTAATTTCTTAAAAATAAAAGTTTCGCTATATTTTAAAAATATTTCATGTAATTTTGTTATGAATAGGTTATAGATCTCATTATTAAAATCTCATTCAGAAAGTTTACTTTTAATTAATGGATAGAGCCCTATTTCAATGAAAATCATAAGTGTACGAACAGTTTTGGGAGCGACTGTATGTTGAACAGTTACTTACACCCTTTCATGTGTCTATCATTTAAATGAAAATGCAAGTGTACCAGCAGGGCAGTTGCTTCTGTTCCATATCCCAGTTTAATACCACTTGGTTTGAAAAGCATTCTGCTGAATTCTCCCAGCTGAAAAGGCTACTGAGAAGCCAGCATTTAAATCCTATTGAGCACTTTTGGAAGAATTTGGGGAAATGTGTGCAAGCACGTAATCTGCCATCAGCATCCTCACTTGATTTATAGAGAATTCTAGAAGATAGTTGGCAGGCTATATCTCTCGAATACTTTGATAAAATTTAATCTATTTTGTTATGTGGCAACTGTTATTAAGGCAAAAGGAGCCTCTACTTATCAATCAACAATCAGATATCTTTAATTCAATGGCACTTCAGTATATTAATATGTTGTGATATCAGAATAAAGGTGTAAGTAGTATTTGTTGCATTCAGCATTTTAAAGTATTTTTTTTTATTTTAATTTTAGAAGGGAAAGCGGGCTGATGCCAACATTATATTTAATACTGCTCTCCCTACAATCTTTTCCTGTCCAAAATATGCTGCTGCTCTTCGAGAAGTTGCAAAGAGCAAGAACATAACTGTTAATTATTTTCACAGTTTAGTTGAAGTGAAAGCTGATTCTAAGGAAGCTGTATTTGCAAAACTTAATGAAAAGGGAAAGACTATTGGTACAGAAATATTTCCAGTAAGACATTTTTAATACTTTTCTGTCATGCAGAATGTTATTTACATTCATGTCTAAAATTATCTTTAGATGCATGATGAAATCATGGTTTCTCAGAAACTGTGAAATTGGGAAACTTTACAGATTTGTTTGGAATGATACATAACGTTATAAAATGTAAACACAAAAGGAAAAATTTAAGGTTGTTGCATATGACATAAAACTGTAGTATGAAACAATAAAAATGGTAATATGTCCATGCTTCCAGTAGTGTTGCTAACCACAGTTTGAGTCCACCAGCATTAGTATTTTCTGAGCATTTACATCCCTAGAAGAAGAATATCTCCATGCATCTGCTTTTCTGAGGTAATCCTTTAAGTTCTGTATCAAGTTAAAATCAGGAAATGTTACTGGCCATGGAGTTCACTCAGTGCCTTCATTTTCAAGGAATTCGTCAATGAAGTTTGCTCAATGTAGACAGGCATTGTTGACAATAAGTAAAAAGACGGATCTATATACCATATGCACTTCTGATAAGTTTTACATAAATTTGTAGGACGTTCTCCTGATATCTCTGGCAGGTCATATATCTGCTGTTGAAAATGTGTAGGGTATACATCCTTTGATCATTATTGTTCTCTTTGCTATAATATTTGCGTTATCAAAATGGTCATGTTCCATAATGTTCAAAAGATTTTGCCCTCGTGGTTCTTTCCAACTGCAAATATATATCGAATCAGATTTTTAAATTAATCTCAACTCATCAGTAAATGGAACATGTGTTCACTGGTGTTACCTTCATTTTCATGAATTAAAATGATCTTGCTTTTGTTGTGAAGCCAATGAAACACATACCCTTATCTTTCTGGCATAATGGTCTTTTTTTCATTAATCCTTCTGTGCACAGTTTGCCACGATCCAACAGTACAGTTCCAGTGATGACTGCAAGCTCTGAACTTGACTGTCGACAGGAGATTTCTTGTTACAGTAGTTTTTACGACAGTTTCAAAATTTTCGAATTGTTTTCGTATTATAGAGACTATCTTAAAGTATTCACAAATTTCACTGCTTCCATGATTGTCTGTCCTGCTTCTAAACAAGTGAGAATTTGCTACTTCATAGATTTCTTCCAAATGTCACTTCAGAACCATAAACTATTTTGAATTCTTACATAATGAAATTAAATGCCGTAGTGCAGAAATTTACATGGATATTTACTCTGTGCATAGTGTTTGATTTCACCATATCACTTAATGCCTTGACTTGCATATCAGAAACCCACATAATGGATCACTTTTGATTGTATAATGTTAATTAAGCTGTCTTTTGTACTTTCCCTGCAAAAATAGATTACATCAATTGAATATTCTTGGAATATCATAATTTTTGGATGTGTAAAAATATCATTCGTGCATTTTAATAGTGAAAAAAATATATAAATTTAAATTTGAAAAGGGGGGAAACAAGCTGGCATCGATTTTTGATAGTCTAAGGTGGCTTTTTTTGCCTATTTTTAAATTTTAAATTCGTATGTTTCTCTTCTAATTAGAGCATTGGTGGAATTCCTTATTGGAAGAGAAATGAATTTATATGTTTCTTTGCAAAACTCACATGGGTTCTCTTTCAGTTCCAATAAGTCTAGTTTGCATATTTAAAATATTGTATCGTATTGTAACTAGACTTATGCATTCTAGTAATTAGTCTAAACAAACTTCCTACTGAACAGTTTTGCATTGGCTTACGTAAAATGATCACGTAAACCAGTGGTTTGAAACTTGAACTACATACAAGCCAAATGCACGGATCTGAAAGTATCTGTCAGGCTATAGTTAAAAAACAGAAAGATTCCATCTACTGCAAATTCTCCATAAGTTCTGCAGAAGCTCCTGAAAAACTATGAGCTATGGAAAATGTGAAAAAACTATGGCTTTTACAGAAAGAAGGCAGGAGAAATAGTATGAAAAATAGAACCAAGTAACTCATCCAATGATTGGCTGAATGCTCATGTATCACATGTTGAGTACTCTGCTGGTTTTGAAGAGTAGCCAGTTGTAGATCAGGAAATTCTGACTGTTAATCTCTGTTATCCAATTCCCTGCAGTAAGAATTTGTTTACTCTACTTTGACTCCATTCATTATAGCAAGTGTATCTTGTAAATTGTGATTCAGTTGAAATTTGTCTCTTTTTTCTTTTCTCTCGTCTTTTTTTTTTTTTTTTTTTTACTTCTTCTTCTGTGTGTGTGTGAATTATGCCGCCTTAAACCAAGAAGCTAAAATTATCAAACTAGGAATTTACAGATTCATATTTTTCAGAATTTCCATGCATCAAAGTATCTGAAATATCCATGAATCATGCACATTGCTATATATGCAACAAATTCTTTGTTGTGCATGGCGGAAAGAATGACTGTGAACAACACATTTTCTCAAAAGTGTAAAGAAACTGGTGCCATAAAATCTAAAGAAATAACTTATTTTTTCATGAAAGGTAATGAAACAGATGCCATAAAAGCTGAATGCTATTTTGTTTGATTTTTAATTGAACATAATCTACCTGTTTCAGACCATTCAAAACAGCTTTTCAATGCAATATTTCAGGATTCTGCCGTAACAAAAACAATTTATGTCCATATCAAAAGCACTGCCACTGCAGAAATTACTGTTAACGATATTGTAAAGTCAGTGTACAATACATCATTTGTTCTATGTACTGATGGAAGTAATGATGCCCTTTAATTATAATATATTATAGCCCCTTTAATTATAATATATTATAGTACCTTTAATTATAATATATTATATGCCCTTTAATTATAATATATTATTTCATTAATTTCTGTTTTAGAATGCATGGATTATGCTGGAGATGTTATTTTTAATTGTATAAATGTATACTTTAAGCAAAGGTTTAAAATGGGGAAATTGCGTATCATTTTCTTCAGCCAATGCTAGTAATAGTATGTTGGGAAAATTTAAAGGTCATAATTTAAAATGCACCAACTAGATATAGTCATCTGAGGTTGTCCATGTCACCTCTTGCGTATAGCTGCAAAAGAAGCTACTGAAAAATTAATTGGCTTAGAAGTAGAAATATTAACAGATGTATATTTTTATTTAGAGACAGACACATTCAAATTTTCTTGTCCTTGTCTGCAATGTGTCATAACCTGCATTATTTTATTATAGCTTATTTTCATGTTTATTTGCATGTATGTTCCTCTTCATATAAATGTAAAACTAAAGGGGGAATGCTATATGATACAGTTCATTTAAAATCAAATTATATTAAGATTTGTAGAAAAAAAAATTCTGTAAAACAAATATAATACAAATATAAAGCGAATTTAATAAAACGAATGTATCTGGTTATGCTGCTGGTTATCTGGTTATGCTTATTATTATGGAGACTAACAATCTGATAATGCAGTTTAAATGAAATGAAACCTTGTTTTGCCCAACATAGGTATTTAAATACAATCTTAAACCTCTTAATTTAGTTATTTTAGCATTATTTAAATCACATTATGTTTGATAGAGTTAGGAATGTATCTGGAAATGTTATATGGAAAATAGTTTGAAGGAATATTTTTCATTTAATCATTTTTCATTTAAATTCATTTTTCATTTAAATTTAATCATATGTTTGCATTTCTGTTTATCAGGTATTGATTTGAATATAAACGCTTATGAGTTTTAGTTTATTTATAACCAAAATATTTGTATGAATGTAGCCTGATTGTGTTTTTTAATCCCATTCTTTTCCAGTATGAAATGCTACATGTAGTACCTCCTATGATAGCACCATCTGTGATTGCTAACAGCCCCCTTGCAGATCCTACAGGCTTTATGGATGTTCATCAGAACACCTTGCAGTCCATGAAATTTCCAAATGTGTTTGGTATTGGAGATTGCATAAATGTGCCAACTTCAAAAACTGCTGCAGCTGTTGGTATGTGAATGATTAATGCTTGTTTTTCTCTTTTTAGTCAGAACTGCATGAAAATAACCCAGATAGAATAATTTTAAGTTACTGATTTTGCTGCATTAAGTAGTTCAAGTAATGCATCAGATATAAGTGGATTTATAAGACAGTGGAATATAAAGGGATTTATAGGCCAGTGGAACATGTAATTAGAAATACAGTTCTACGTAGGCCAAATTACTTTGCCTACTGATATGTTTTTCTCACTTTGCACACTGGTGGTCATTTCGTCAGTTTGGCATTATTAGTGTTCTTTCACTGTTGGTTTCAAGCGTCTCTCTGGCATAACAAGCAATGATTTAATATTAGTTTGTGTATTGCGTGCTGAATGTTCAGGTTATAGGTATATAGCAACTTTCTGTTAATTATTCTATAGGTACAACCTCTGTCCAGAATATTCAGTGAATGGCATCATGATGCTCGCAGTCGTTAGCGCGTGCCACTGACACAACCTGCACCGGACATGTCAAGTCTTATCTGAACCACTTCCTGAGCGAATGTGTTTATTGTGAGCTTATTGTAGGGTGAAGGTATTGTGCATGCATTCAAAACTCAAAATGAATCAGCGAATGTATATGCTCTTCTCTTTCAGACTTGGAAAATCAGTGAAAAAGCTGATAACAATTATAGGGAAATGCTGATAACAGTATATGGAGAATGTACTGTCACCTCAAAGTGCATGTATGAGTGGTTTTACACGCTTCCTAGAAGGACGAGACACCATTGAAGACTCTCCCCCCCCCCAAAGTGGAACTGCACACACTCCTGATAACATACAGAAAGTTAAGGAAATTTTGGCCCAGGATTATCATCTGACAGTGCGAATGATGGCAGGAAAGGTAGAAATCAGTTGTGAGATGGCCCACCTTATAGTGACCCACAACCCTGAAGGCAAGAGGCAGAGTATGGAATAACAGGGTCCAGGGTTGCCTGAAAGCAAGAAGTTGTGAAGTGAGAAATTGCACGTCAATGGCAATGCTCATGGTGTTCTTTGACTCTGAAGGTCTCATGCTGCTACATACGTGGAAATACTGAAATGTCTACTGAAAAGCGGCTGTACCCCCCCCCCAGTATATCAACGAATGTCTCTGGACCCTACTGCACGACAATGCCCGGCCTCATACTACCTTTCTTCTGCTGCAGTACCTGGCCAACATGGAAGTTGTATCCCTGAATCACCCACCCAACTTCACACTTGTCTCTCACAGACTTTTTTTTTTCCTAAAATTGAAATCAACTCTAAAAGGCCAGAGGTTTTTAGACATTTTGGACATCCAACATAATGTTACAATCCAGCTGAAGGCCATCTCTGAAGATAGCTACGCCAGGAGTTTTTAGAACTTGTACAGCCATTCCCAGATGTGCATTACCACCAACGGGGAATCCTTCAAAGGAGTGCAAGCTGTTTAAGACAGACACATTCACCGAACTTTCTGGACATAAGTTAATTTAGTATCTCTACTATAGGTATATTTACCTACCCCTTTTTCTAATGCTATGATTTTACATATTTTACCAAGCAAACATATATGTTGATGAGTGTGTTAGATCTAATTTACTTGGAGAGCTTGTGTGTTTAGGTTCTTTTATGTAGTTTTTCAAGTTCAAAAAGCATTTAGTATTATAATTAATTCTCAGTACCTCAAATTTTTTAATACAATAATGATGATTTTTCTTACTTTTAAAAAAGAGTGTAAACATTATATTTGCATAATGCAATTACAGTGTATGCTTTGCCCAGAATGGTAAAATGTACATGTAGATTTTAGCTTAGTCTTCTGGCATCATATCATAATTAGGATGGAAGTTGATAGTAAACACAAGGCTGCTATTTTTTATGGTGCTGCTGTTGTATAGGTGAACTTGGAAGTTTAAATGCTATCTGTTTATTAGAAACATTGTATTATAAAATCAAAAGTATATTCATGATTTTTTGGCTTGTAATTGATTTTTTGGGAAGGTGACACCGGAGTCATCAGATATCACATATTGAGGATGTAGTTATGAGCCCTGAGCATGGATTCAATTGATAATTGTATTGGTTGGTTAATGATGCTGAGTGCCATACTAAATTTCCCAGGTTTGAATCCTGGAGAAGGAATGGATGTTTGTAAGCATATAGTGCCTGTGTGGCAAGGGGACACTCAAAGTACACAGGGAGCCAAAAACCTCTTAGGAGGTTATTGATAGAAAAAGAGGACTAAGAGACCCTCAGACCATACCCTGGGGAATTTTTCCCTCGAAATTTCAAACTAGGGTATAAACTTAATAATTGGCTAAGTATAACAGTACCTCAATCACTTAGAGATGTTGGCCTAGCTTTTACCTGTACTCTGACTTAGTGCTTGAATGTGTTTTGTTGTGTCCTATATATTGTTTTGCATGCTGGGGCAGTAGTCACCGCATATTTTCCCCTAGAGTGCTGGACTATATATCCTTGTCAGATCTAGAGATCAGCCTGTGAGATTTACTTTAATTTTTGCTTAGTGCTCAGTCTTGTTGTGCCACCTCATGATGAGGATAGTAGTTGATGGTAAATGCAAAACTGTCACTTCTAGTGCTGCTGCTGAATTATGACCTTCGAATTGGAGGTCAAACAGTAGTCTGTTAATTAGAAGCTAAAAATTATACTGCGGAGTGAAAAATGTCCTGTTGGATCTAAAACAAAATTTCAACCTCTTTCTCAGCCACTGATTAGTCAACATGTCACCACGAGTAGAAAAAAAGGGCTATTATTATAAAATGGTGGTATTTTTCTCTCTATTTATGTGCATCTTGTAATGTGTAGATGCTGCTTTTCATTCACAAGGGAAATAATATTTATATAAGTAAAGGAATCCTTTGTGTTTTAAGTTTTTATTTATTTATTTATTTATTTATTTCAATCTGTTATTTGAAATTTCAGTCCTTTTTATGTATATCACTACAATTTTACTTTTAAAGCAATTTATACATTTTGTACTAAAACAGCAGTTAGTTATTTTCATCACTTTTTTTATTAGCTGTGTACAATTAAAAGTTTATTTGATTTTCTAAGCAAAACTTCGTTACCATAGTTCTTTGATTATAAAATCTCCCCTTCTCCACCCCACCCCCCAAAAAAAGATTCTAGTACATGTGTACATTTTAGAATTGCTGTTTGTTCTGAATTTTCAAATGAAAACCCTTTTTTTTTTTTAAGACATGTTAATATTTTGGGAGGGGATGCATTTTATAGTCAAAGAATCTCATTTTTTAATATTAACTCACTTATTGTTTAGATATTAAAAATTGTTTTTTATGTTCCATAATTTGTATATTACTATGTTTCAGCGGCCCAGTGTGGAGTATTGACTAAAAACATCAAGCAAGTATTTAAAGGGAAAGAAATTGATCACAGAGTAAGGTTTTTTTATATTTTTGGGTTTTAGCACTGAATAATTAGCATCTTCACATGTATTGCAAAATTTTGAAAATCATAAATATTAACTTAGATGTATTTTCAAATACATTTTCGATGCAATCCCGATTACGTATTGTGGTTGCACATAAGAATTATAAATTTATCCATATGCTAATATCAAGTTCAATTATTTTAGAGAAACTAATTTTACATACATGCATTTTTGTATAATGATTATCAAGAAGTGATATTTTTTATTTCTCTGTCATTTTGAGGAAATTAATTTGAGAAATTCATATTAAGTGTTTACCAATATCTCTACAAAATGGCTTTTCTCTTTACTTTTCTGATTTATGTAGTATCTATAATCAAAAAAGTATCTTTTTGAAAATTTTGTAAATGTTTTCGTCTACTTTTTGGAGATATCTTAATGATATGATACTTATTACTGTGAGGATGATTGTAGTAGAATAAATGCTTATGATAGTTTAGTGCTTACACTGTGTTTTAATACTAAATTTCACTTCTATAGTCTTAAATACAATATAGTCTAAATACATTCTGTACATACAAATGTCTAAGATAATTTTGAAAAGTATGTTTTGAAATTAGTGCCTAAAATAAGAAGAAAGTTCCATTAACTGAATCTAACAGTGAAATTTTAAGTGGAAGAATTTAACAGTGAAATTTTCTATATCTTTTTACTAACATTTTGCATATTTGTGTTTTTATAGATATTATTTGTATAGATATTATATTATTTCTACTAGTTCTGGAACTGACTTTTAAATTGTTCCCATCATAAATATGTATATTAACAAAATAATTTTTACTTAAAATCTTTTTTTTTTTTTTTTCCCTCTCTTCCCATCTTTGTAGTATTTTGGTTACACTGCTTGCCCTCTTGTGACAGGGTATAATAAAGGCATTATGGCTGAATTTAATTACAAACTTGAAGCTGTTGAAACATTGCCAATCAATCAAGCAAAAGAGCGTTACATTTCTTATTACATGAAAAAGGATTTGATGCCATTTATATATTGGAACTTAATGTTAAAGTAAGCTTTTAATAACTTTATATAATTTAGCTTGGTTTAAAATATTTAAATCTATGTTGGTGAGATTTTTGCTGGGAATAATTTTAACATTATTTGAATGAATAGGTTTAAAAACATTTTTTCCTGGTAATATTCTTGGCAGGATTTCTTAAATTTTGATTCCATGTTTTCCTTTTGTAATATAAAATATGTTACAGCTCTGTGAGGATTTTTTCACTTTTTAACGGCATAACTTGAAAGTCATGGATAAGCAGAGCCATGAATATATGTATAGACTATCTTGTCATATGTAGAAAGCAGCATCAGTTATACAGTTAGTTTTTTTTTTTTTCTTTCAAATTACATGCAAACATGAATTTATTTGGAAAGTCTTTTTCTGGCATTGTTCTCAGATATGTGTGTACTTATAATATCTCTCATATATATTTTTTTTTTTTTTTTTTAGGTTTTCGATTACCAATACATATCTGCTTTCTTATCTTGCTCATATTTTCCCACTTTAGTCTTTAAATTTATGTGACTAACATCTTGCCGGTTTCATTTTAAATCTGGTGAAAGGTATTGTGTGGTGCATTAAATTTCATAAAAGTATTCTTTTGCTTATAATTGTCCTTTTGCTTTTATATGTACATAGGCACTCAACCCAGATTCCTGGAAATTTTTTTTAATAGAATAATTACATGCTTGCAAGAGATTTCGTTATGTAAAGTAGTCCCTCTATATTACATGTATCTTTCTCAGCATCGTAACAGCTGTATTATTCACTCTTCAAATAAGGTACTTGGTTGGGTCGGTATCCACTTTTGAATCCCTGTGAACTACTCTGGAAAAACCGAAGATTAAATAATGATATAACTGCATGTTCCATTTATGTAGCATATTGCTCTCCATACTGTTTATGAAACCTGGTCAAAAATTAGGATCCATATATCAGCTTCATTAAAGCAGAATAATAATTATCTTTTCTTCTTGCCGATTACTCTGACAAGCACCATATCGGGCTGACTAAGTTAAGATTCAATTGCGTTGTAGTAAACGCATTAATTTGGATAATTGGAATTTTCAATGTCACTTTCTGTGTCCAAGAATCATCATGCAAAAAGTGAACAGTCTGCCTCATATTTGAATGCTCTTGTAGTATGATTCATTTTAGATTGATACCTGCCCTCTACTAATGTCAGTTCTGGTTCAACTAATATCTGTATCCTTTCTCTGTTTTATTTTTTCAGAGATTTATTATTTTATACGTATGTAAAAATTATTTTTTTGCTGTAGCAAATAAATAAGAATTTAAGAATTGTAATTTGATGAATTTGAAAGTTCTAAGTAAATGCATCTGTCTATGGATAAAAGTAAACTATATTGCTTTGTATAAAACGCTTTTTAGATTAGTTTAAAATTATGCAACTTTTTATTTCATATATAGTTTTAAATGGTAAAAATAGTTTGCATTATTACCCCGTTTGAGACAGCATGCCAGCTGTTGACAGCAATCGTAACGCGCTAGACGGGTTATGGAGAACGAAGAGGTTAATAATGTTTTCCCCTTACTTTTCATGAAAATATGTAAAACAAATTGTGTACTTCGAGAAATAATTTTTGGAAGGGCTATTCAAATTATTCTGAAATTTTAATTGACAGAATACATTAATAAACATTTTTAGTTAATTTTAAGAAATACAAAAATGACTATTTAAAAGAAAAAGTAACAAAATATTTCATGGGAAATAGATGGTTGACACTCAGTCCATATGAGAATCGCTAGAAATGTCGCTCTCCAACTCTTTAAAAAATTAATCATCACTCTCATCTATATCAGTAATTGGCTCATTTACTGTGTGAGTATATCCTTCCTATGATAAATAACACTTTCTTGCCATAATAAACTGTAGTTGAGGCTTTCTGAAATAAAAAAGGAAGTATGCAAAATATAAGCAATAAAAGCAAAGTAAAGCATATTAGAACTCCATATAGTAACCTTGAAAGAGTAAAAAAAGAACCAAAAAAGGATTCGAAGGGATATCAGAAACGCAATTGTTTATAACACGTGGCAAGTTAAAAAAACTAGCTCTGTTTGTTTACAATAAGCTTTGCCTCCTCCCCTGTAACAGTTGACACCAACATTACACAGAATGTCATCAAACTCAAGGTCAGAATCTTAAAACTATATTCAGTTCAAAAGTAATGGGCACAGGATGCCATCTAGTTGTCTTTAAAATATGTTTTAGCTTAAAATGCATATGTGCATCACCTCACCCTTGCATTAGCTCTCCAGAAATGTGTGGCTGGGATACCTAACTGGGAAAAGCATTCATAGGAAATGGGTATATGGACACCCATCCTGAAAGGATCAATACTGTTTCTTATTTTTTTGGTAGAAAAGTCTATTTTGAAATATTTTCAATTTTGGGAGACAACACTACATAGTATTATGTTAACAAGTGTTGCCATTCAAAGAATTAATATCATAAATTTAGATTCTACATAACCTGAGTTAGTTTCCAGAGCATTGAGATTTGATATGGCATAAGATCTTTACTTTTCAAATTATGATTTTATTTGCATAGCAGACTAGGTGATTTAAAATCAGTAAACATGCTTATTAATGATTTATGCTATTTTTAATATGTGGAAGTTATAAAATGTAAGTTGATATGGAATAATCATTTGGTTTTTAAGTTGTTTTTATGTATTAATTTATACAGCATGTTGATGTCAGAAATCAAAAACACTTATTTCAGTAAAAGTTCTTGGAAGTTAAAGAATGCAGAGTAATGAATTAAATATTTATGTATTTATTAATTACATAACAAATAAATATTTGGGTACTAATGATCTAAATGTGTATAGTTAATTGAAATGATTTTTGTTGGAGTTATTTCTCTTTTAATATTTTTAAAGCTATTCGAAGTATAAAGAAAATAAATATTTTCTTCTATAGGGGATTGTGGCCAGGGCCTGGACCTGTGAGAAAATTACTTCATTTGGGATTTAGCTCATAAGAGATGAACTCGCAACTGTTTTAGTTTGTCTTTTTCGGTTGATATTTCTTAGTTTTTTTTTTTTTTTTTTTTTTTTTTTTTTTCCCCCTTTGCCGTTATGTATGTTCATGAGTTTTAAACCTGGCATCACACACAGTCAAATGATTTTCATTGTTACTATATGTACTAAAAAAGTTTATTAATTTTTTACTATTTTTTGTAATTTGCACATAAATTGTATAATTTACTAAGAATTGCAGCTTGAAGTTGAGGATTAATTTTGTAATGCAGCAAAAACATATTTTTCATAATTTTAAAAATGACAAAAATGCAAAATGTAAGATTTAGTTTATCATAGTATCAAACAAAGAAAACTTTGATACTACTTCTTCTGTTAATGTAATTTTGTAATTAATGATATAATTTTTCATCTAAAAGTTTAAGTTTATTATTTTCTATAAAGATATATTTTTAGTAACTTTCATGTAAAAGAGTATATAATTGTTTTGGTGTGCCCTACCCCCCTTTTTTCCCTCAGTACAATAAAAAAATAATAAATTTCAATAATAACTCAATAAAAAATTTAAAATTTCCTGAAAAACAATTATTTGCATTTATTTTTCCATGAAAAAATAAAATTACATTTGTTACTATGATTGTGTGTGGTGTAGATTTAAAAAGCCTTCCAGTCTGCTATAAATGTGATTAACACTTATTTTTCTTGGTTGTGTAGTAAATAAATTTAATGATATAATTAGATTTATAAATTATCTTTCTTCGTAATTGTTGGTGAAGAAGTGAGTAATCTGTCTGTATAAAATCTGAATGTAGATGGAATATATTTTTTTAAGATCTTAGAATAAATATTTTCATTAGTAATAAGTATGTTATAGATGCTTGATATTTTCCGTTTTATTAGATTTCTTTCTTTGTCTTATAATTAAGAGTCATTGTTTATTATGACTATATACATTTCTGAAGTTTAAAATGTTAAATGCATTTTTGTAATAGTCATATTTTTACTTATTATTGTTCAAAAAAGCATATTTTTTGTTATTTTGTTAAATATTTTTTTTTAATTACATTTAAATATTGTTTAAAAAATTTTATATAGGAAGTAATGGTAAGTAAATTGTTGTGTACAGTACAGATTGCATTTTTTGTATCTTTATGATAGTTATAGTGCCAAAATTTATATTACATAATCAGATTTATTCCGAAGTCTTCAATTGGTGCTAGAAGTTGAATAGTAATATGCCATAATTTTGTATATTTTTGAAATATTTATATTTTCCAATGTTTTAAATCTTTAAAGTGAATTGGTTTAATTTTTATTGCTTTGTAAAGAAAATTCAAACACTAAAGCAGTAGTGTATTAAATTTTTTACCTTCTTCCTCCCGAAGAAAAAACTATTTCAAAAGGAGGATTAGCATCAAATGTATTGTACATGATGCTTGAAAATAGTAATTTTTGTTGATTCCAGGTTATTATTTTTAACTTTCATTGTATTGAAATGTATGAATCTGCTTATGGTTAATGTGGCAATTTGTTTGCTTTTTAAGGGACCAGTTTGTTTTTCCTCTTGTTTGAAAGTGTAATTTGATGCTTTATATGACTTACAATAAAAAATTCTCTAATTAATGTTGAAAATCAGTTATTTCCTTTTCTATAATTTTTTGTTATTGTATAGTTTTGATTCTGTTAACTGATATTTCAGATTAAACTTATCTATTTTTTAATGAGGACCATTATATTGGTCAAAGCTTACTACTTTGTATGCTTGTCTGTACAACTTTTTTTTTTTTCAGAGAAACTTCAAAGTTAATTAAAATTGAAAAGAAAAAAGTGTGATCAATTTTAAATATGAGAATAATAAATGTCATATTTGTTAAAAATTTACTGTCATCATTTCTTAAATTTTGCCAAAAAAAATTTTTTTTGGGGGGGGGGGGTTTATTTCATTAATTGTATTGAAAATTTTCATTTTGAGATTGTCTTTGAGAAGAGCAAATTGGCTTGTATTATATGAGGATGGGAGAAAACCCTATGCCATTGGCCTAAAACTGTTTCTGTTAGTAGGCATTCTTCATTCAGCTTCAGTAAAAAGTTAGCTGTCTTTTCTGTTATGTAACAAAATGTAATAATTGTCTATGAAAACATCATTTGTTTAATCTAAATTTTTATTTTTATTTTTAAGTATTTTAAACTTTTCCATTAATGTCTCCTTAGCTGTGTCTCCTCCCCCCCCTACCAATCTGGCACGTTATTAGATTTTTTTTCCCTGATAAATGTTTGGCTAAAACAATCGTAACTATCATCTATTTAAAAAAAAAATAACAAGTACTGTAAAGTTACTGTCTTCCTCGCTTCATTTGACACCTCCAGATATTCATCATCTTTTATATGTGCTTATTTATAAACAAATGGCCATTTTTTTGCATGCAAGTGAATGAGTGTATGTGCTTACTGTTTGAAAGTTGTATGGCAAAGTGGGCATTTTTCTTCATGTGGCCATTTATTCTGCATTTCTATATTAGTTTATTTCTCCATGTGGCATTACCTTCTAATGAAGTAATATGAAAACAAAATAAAACAAACAAAAAAGGGTTCCATTCTCATTTGGCTTGGTAGCCTAGCCAAGGTAGTGGTCAGTGACTGCCAGGCTGATGCACCCAGTTCTGAATGTGGAGAAGGCATGGATGTTTGTAATCGTATAATGTATGTGTAGCAAAGCGGCAGTCAAAATACACAGTGAGCAAAGTCCTCTGAAGAGGTTGGTGGTAGAAGAAAAGCTGTGAGAGAACCTGGGACCACCTCTTTGGATGCCTCAAAACTGAGGCAGGATTGCAGTTAAAATGTGGCAGAACTAAACCTGTATGAGGAGTGGTGAAATTCTAGTGTCCCGCTTTTACTTGTACCTATAGCATTTGATTTCATTCTGAAAAGCTAATTTTAAATACAAGATTTTGTTTTTTATATTTTAAATTCTTGGAAAGTTAGTTGTTATTATTTATATTAGAATTATTTTAGGCATTAAACTAGGATTCACAAGTAGAGCTATTGCATATTTTTTAATATAAAAATGATTTACTTTCAAAAAATGAAATTTTCAGATTTCATTTAATTTATTTATTTCAATACTGCCATTTAATTGCAGGTTTTCGTATTCAGAAATAGACTGCAGAATTGCTTTGCACATTCAAATAAACCACTTGTTATTTGGAAATACTGAAAAGAGAAGGAAAGAAACTTACTTTGAGATAAGTTTTTTTTTTTTTTTTCCTTATATGGCGACCTGATCTTTTCTTTTGTTTTGATATACTTTCATAGCACAACTGATTATAATAAATCACTAAGTGAATATGTTATTTGGCATTAATTTTAAAACTTGCATTCCTGAAACAATTTCACTGCTGGGTATTAAAAGTGCAGTTCCTACAAGAACAAAAATAAAGAACAAGAACTTTTAAGTTTATTGTACATATTTCTTATAATATAAAGATAAAATCATACAAATTTCAGGTACGTCTTACAAATAGATTGTTGAGCACCAAATATAACCACCATGAGTAACAACAACCACTGCCAAGCATACAGCCAGAGATTTTGGGATATTGTAGTTCAAGTCGTTGCAGTTTGTTCACAAAACCACAAGCCTTAACATGCATGTAATGCAATGCTAATTGGCCAGTGTCAATTATGTGTACCACATGCTAGAGCATCTTATGTCCACTTGTATCCTGAAACTCCTTATGCTAGCAGGTATGACAAGATTATGAGTGCATGGGCATCCACATATCTATCATACTTCACATAGAAGCTCAATTTGCCTGAGAAGTGAATGTTGCATCATTGTAGCTGCAGGCACCTGTGTAGCATCATTAAAGATACGCAAAATAATAGCTGCCATGCAGACAGTCTGTGACCTGAAGGCAATTTCTCCACATGTATGCAACACATTGCAGAATATTGTGATCTGTTTGAATGTTTCTTCTATTTTAAGAATGTGCTCAGAGCTGGCAATTACATCATTATGAGTTGGCATTTTGAGCATGAGGCCAATTTTGTAACCAGCTGTTATAAGCAAACAAGTCCTAATTTTTAGCATATGTACTGATTTCGCAAAATCTGTTTGCTGATGGTTGATATTGATTTTGCTTTAATTGAAGGCAGTTTTCAGAAATATTTTCCATGTACAGTGTATATTTGTGGGTACAAAGTTATGAGTAGTGAATGATTATTACTAGTTTTCTACCTCTATTTTATAGCAGTAACAGAACTTAGTTTTTTTTTTTTATTCTCTAATTATGCATATATTTCATATTATGCTTTTTTAATTCTTTAATTATGCATATATTTCATCTTTCATTATACTTTATTGATTATTTTTAGTTGTTTGAGAATTTGAATTTTGTAATTATGTATTTTAAGTGGACGAAAATTAACATATTACTTCATTTTAAGTCTTGTTCCTCAGTGTGCTTTAGGATCTTGTATGTGGCAGACATATCTACAGAATCCTGTAAGAATAAGCAAATTGCTAATTTCTATTTTCTTTCTTCTTAAAGTGTGTACTGTAAACATTAAGATTTATAGGAAATGATTTAATAACTTAAATGTCTACTTTTTAATTCATCAGGTATGTTACAGTGCATCCTATGGACTCCCAGGAGTCCTTATGACACCTAAGGCAGTCTGCAGCAAATAAAATTAGTACGGGGTATGTAGACTGTACCGAAAGTCCAAGAATGGTTTAATATGAAATAAAATAATTGTGATCCATTTTCATTATTATGAAAGTTAAAATAAATTAGCAACAATTTTTACATTCTGAGTATAATAAAGCAAAATGTGTCCTTTCTTTGACAGATAATAGTGTAAATGAACCAAAGAAAAAAACACAATGTAATTAATATTTAAAATTTGTCTTCACTTCACTTAGTGCCTTCTTTTCAATAAAACTTTGTCAAATGAATCAAGGAACATTTGACAAAAGCCCATGCTGATAAAAAAGATACATGTAACATTTTTTTACAAAACAAAGAATAATATTTGAAAACACTATAGTGACCAAATCTGAGTAAGATGACAATGCACTGCATGTTTCTTTAACATTTCCTTACTGCGTGTAAAATCAGAAAGCCACACATCATTGGTTAAGAACTTATTTTACCAGCTGTAAATGAGGTAATATACACTGTGCTGCATAAATCAACTTTCGAAGAATTCCACTGTGCAATAATTTAGTACAAAGAAGGATTCATGAAATGGTTCAAGATAAGAAAATTCTTTATGGGAGTTCTTAAAAACATCAGAATTTTTTATTCTGGTTGGCAAGTCAACTTGCCAGGAAGCAAAGCTTTACTTATGTGAGATTTGATATATAAAAAAAAATAAAAATTTTCCAAGAACTGTTATTTTTCAAGTTTTTGGATATGAAAGATGACAAATTAAAAAAAAAAAAAAAATCTTTTGAATGTGTCCTTAACTAATAGCCAATCCATTGTTACTGATGATGCTCCAGTATTGTGAGGACCACAGTGAGGTTTTCTGGCACACTTAACACTAGCTGTACCAAATGCATTATCTGTTCATACATCGACAACAATTAGTTGCCAAAAATCTTAGTGAACACTTGCATGACTCACTAGATTATGTCATTAGAGTAGTTAGTAAAATCAGAAGGAATGCCTTAACTCTTTCGCATCGAGAGACGACCAAATCTGTTTTCAACAACATCGAAAACGCCCGTGTTTACGAATTTGTCTTGGAATAGTTTTCCTTTCCCCCCTTTTGCGGTTTCATCCATTCATCCATTGTGCGCAGTTTCACCTTAGGGCCGGATTGCACCTGCGAACGTCAATAGCTTTCCGTATTTCTCCTTTATTTGCTTCAAAAGAATGATTGACATGTCTTTTAACAACTCGCAAAACCAATGAGCCATACACTAACGTGGAGGGGAAAGAACTAGGTAGAAAATAAACGAGGCGTTGGGGCGGTTTGCCGTTGCCTGAATGAACGGGCGCTACGGGCGTTTTCGATGCCAAAGAGTTAAATGACAGATAATTTGTTCAACTTTGTTTAGAAAATGAAGATTATTATCACTTACTACTACTTAAAATGGAAGTTTGTGGGTTATCTAGAAGTGCATGTTTGGATTAATCTTGTGTGTTGTTTGATTCAGTGTTAGGATACTTGGAAATTAAAGAAAGTGATTTATAGCTCAGTTTAATTAATTCAAAAAATGACATACCTTATATGACTAGCTTTATTGCCAAATTTAGTGAAGCTGCATGTTGATTAATTAAATTTAATCAAAAGTAAAATTATAATATCTGCCTTTATTAGAAAACATTTTCTGTGCAAGCAAAATTGAGGAAAGGAGAATGCTCTTAGTTTCAAAATCGTAAAATCGAGGTGAAGATTAGTTTTCATAATGTCAACACCTAATAGCTCTTCATTCTGACCTCAGTTAAAGATTATAAGAATTCTTCACTTGATTATTCCTGATTGGGTGTTGGCTCATTTTGCAAGTGGACCCCCAAATGCAGATAAATCATAATAATACAGGAGCAATTTATTGAATTATCTATTAAAGAGGAGCAGAAACCAGTGTTTGAACAAGGGATGACAAATTCTGTTACAAAAAGAGATATGAATTATATATCCTGCATTATGGGTTACTGTAGCAAAGCTATTGATTGTTTTCCTGTAACTTCCTATTTAGCAAAACATGGATTTAGTGCAATGATGAGCCTCATCAAGGAAAAAACTGACTAAAATTAGTGCTGTTGAAAATTTACGAATGTTACCGCAAACCTACAGCCGAACAACTTCCCATCTTATTGACAAAAAAAAAAAAAAAAAAAAATGTGCCTCTGTATTCTTAAGAAAGTTATAATTTCAATAAATACTACTTTTAAATCTCAAAATGTGTTATTTTTCATAACCAGTTACCATTCCTGACAATTCCTGACAAGTTAAATTTGTAATTTTTCTATTCAGTTATATAGGATTACGTTATCAACTTTATTTCATGGTCAGGTTTGTGTTTTAACCCATTAACCACCAAAACTACAAGGAATGTTTCTTTTCTCATGAAAATAATAACAAATATTAAATTAAGCATTTATAACATAAATTTACATTGAAAATTTTAAAAAATGCTCTTACCTGTGGAAAACACGAATGTTGCGTTCGCGCAACGTCAGCGGAATAAGACTACGGATGTTTAGTGATTAGGATTGTACTCGTGTGATGCTTCTTTTGAGTGGAGCGCAGGATTACTTTTTAGCTGTATAATGTTTTATAAATCTACAAATCACTTTACTTGTAATTAATTTAATATTAAAATATATATTGTATTTCTTTTACAAATACAGATTATTTCAATTGAAAGATTCAAGCATGAAAAACTTGATTACAATCATGATGTAGAGCTACATTACATACTTTGCATCTATAAACAGTCTGGCTATGGTACTCTTTACAACAAAGTCTTTTGTTATCAATGGACTTTACGATAAAATGTCTACCATCTCCATGCAATGGTTTTTTTGAATGCTGAATTTACTAGGTCTTCCTGTTGCTGATCTATTTCTGGCTAATTCTACACTCTCAATAGGAGTTTGCAAAAGGAATAATGCATTCTCGTGTCTGAAATCTAAAACAGATTTTATATTTCCAGTAGTAAAAAGTGGTGATATTTAGTAAGTTTAGATATGGTGTCACCTCATATAATTTATCAGTATTGTCAATTTGACTATTGTCAAATGCAAATTTTGCTTCATATTCCTGTACTGCAAACGCGATATCGATTCTCGTACAACAGAAATGTCCTTATCAAAAGACCAATACATTTTTTCTTAAAGTAAAGAATAATATCCTGTAAGCAAAATATTCCAATAAATTTTCTCATAAGCTTCAGATGTAATAAATTCTGAGTGTTTTTTTTTTTTTTTTTTTTTTTTTTTTTTTTTTTTTGGCTGAGCATGTATATTTGTCTGTTCAATGAGAAGAGAGTAAATGTCTAAACCAAATCGAAAATCTGTGCACTAGTTTTACCTTGTATTTTGTCTTTTATAATTTCTCTTCTATCTCTTTCTTCGTGTTTTTCCTGAGACATAACTAACAGTTCCTTTTTTATCCACTTCAAGATTTCAATCTTCTGCTTTTTAAACTTTTTAGTATGACTATAACTGCTTTTAGAATGCTGAAACTTACTTCTTACTTGAATTTCAACTTCCCCAGCAGTATTATTTGGTAAATATCATTATCATTATTTAAAACATTGCCATTCCTTTCTTCTTTGTCACTAGTTTCTGCAATTTCTGGGGGAACAACAAGAATATCAGTTTCATTCTGGTCATTATTAACATTATCATCATTTGTTTGTTCATCAAAAAATCTTTGAAGGGCTTCTTCTAATGCAAGATACCTCATTCTAGGCATTTTTAAACAACCAGAACATCGAAAGGAATAAGGGAAAAAGGAGATTGACTACCCGTTTCCTGCTGGCGTTACATCAGCGCAACACCTGTTTTCCCTTGCTTCCCAACACAAATATAAATATCTGACATGTAATGTTCTGATAAACGGCGACCTTGACTAAAAATAAATCTCTCATAAAGATGGCGATTCTTTCGTTAAAATTTTCAACAAAAATACCCGGTCGAAAATTTTGCTTAAAGTATGAGATTAATTATTATAAACAAAATGATTGTTGAAGGCAAATATTTTTTTACAGAAATAATCTTCATAATATTCCCTACACAAAATCATCTGCTGGTATAAAATATCTTAGGTATTTATATTTATATACGCATTTATTTTGACCGTTGCGTCAACGCAACACCAGCGGCTAATGGGTTAAGAGGTTTACAGGCGTAGTTAGTTTGGGAACCAACATTTTAGAGTGATTTATATTTTAAGTATAAAATTAAGTAATATCATGGTACATTGAATATTCATTTGAGCAACTTCATAGCAGTAATTATTCCCTTTCAGTACATACACCTATTAAATATAAACTGCTTCAGTTTTTGGTATTTTAGATGTAGATAGTATTCATTTTTAGAAAAATGTAGTAAAATATTAACAAACGAAATCTGTTAAATTAACAAAATGCAACTGAGAAAGGTGGTGTGGTGTATTGAGAATACGGCAAAGCACACTAGGGCTATCAAAAAGCCTAAGGCGGTTGGAGGACTTTCTAAGGGAAACTGGCTCGTACACGTTACACATGGGGAAAACCACAAAAACGCCCGTGCAGCCAGCCCGTTCGCGGGATTCGAACCTTGGACCGAACTTCCAGTGTTCAGCGATTTTACCGCTCGGCCGCTGGTGGGCACAACTGAGAAAGGAACATTGTACATTATGCAAAGTGTCCCACAATTTGTGCATGATACCTTTCCATAGCAGTATATGCATTTAAGATAAATTTTTAAATTTTGGCTTGTGAAAGTTTTCATGCAATTTAAACTGGTAAAATTTTTAGAAGAATTTAAAATTATATTATGCATACGAATTTCCCATAATTAGTGTAACACAAAACAGATTTTGATGTTTTCAGTAAATTTATATCTTTCGTTATAAATGTTCACAGCACTTTTTGGCCAGCTTTATAAACATACTGTCTCTCAAAAGGCTGAGTTGATTCATAACCAGCTATTTTAAGCCACTGAACAATGCAATATATTACGAGAGTGGTTCCCAAACATTTGACATCTGTGTACCATTTTTGATAATTTTTATCAAAAACAATTTGCATATACTGTAATAACAATCCAAATATATTTATTTTTTTCTTTTTATAGTACATAAATGAAAAGTAAAATTCATCAAAGTTATATTATAAATAACATTCATTATTATAATCAATGAAAAAAGTAAAATTGTTTATGTTGAGATGACAGATCATCATAACTTGGTTCCCGTGGTTGTTAATTTTAATCCAAGATGTTCCATAATCAAAAGGATCTTTTTTTTTTACTTTGTGTTAACAAATGCTGAAAACAACTTCACGTGGATACACTACCGGACGTTGAAAATGCAACACGAAGAAGGAATGGCTCGAAAATTATGCAAATTTCCGGGTAGACGCATGTTACCAAGCTATGCGAAATGCGCATCTCTCCAGTGCACGTTGAAGAAGATATAAGGGAATGAACCTGCTAAATGTTCAGTTTTTGTGCTGTTAGTGAAATCGTCATAGAAAATTCGCTGTTGTCTCAGAGGATGCGTGTAATAGCAGAGAATGCCAGGCGAGGGCCATGATGATTGCACTGAGAAGGGCAGGTTGGTCCATACGGCAAATTGCAGCTGACACACACCTGGACGTATCCACTGTGCACAGGCTTTAGCAACGATGGTTGGAATAAAGAAATGTGGCAAATTCGAGCAGTGCCGGTGCAGCCCATGGACCTTATAAGAAATAGACTAACCCAAACGGGTTTTCTCCCTCATCTGCGGCGTTGCCGGCTGTCACCTTTATCACATCCGGAGTAGGGACGACGTGCAGAAATTTAACATTGGTTGCCTATTGCAGCGTGTATAACTGTCAAGAAAAAGCTGGTTGTAGCGCCTCATTTCACAAATTTTCTCTTGCAATTCTTTAATGTTTTTTATTGGTGTAAATAAGTAAAAAATACTAAAATATTTAAAAACGAATTTTTGAAAGTTTTTTTAGAATTCTGAATTATGCTGCTTTTTCAAAATTATAGATGACTATTATAGCACAATTTCTATAAATGAATTTTATTTCAATTATATTTCATAATACATCGTAGTGATAAACACTTTTGA